GCTCTGCGCCTGCGCTCTTCATGTGCCCCCTGCAGGGCACATTGGGTAGACTTCGTGCAGACTGCCGCCAAGCAGCATATTTTCCACAAACAAGTGAGGTGAAGCGGAGGGGGGGGGGAGGGAGAAAAGGCGGTTGACAAGCCCTGCCTAAGACCATTGGAAATATGTATTTTCCGATGGTCTTAGGCGACTCCTGTGAAAGGCTTGTGCGACCCCCAAAAGGGTCGCGACCCACCGGTTGAGAACCGCTGGCTTAAAGACTGGTAGTTTTACAATGATTCAAAGATATTAACGGCCATGAAATGGATGCTTTATAGTCTGTTAAGCACTCCTGGCTGTAAGAAATGGTCATGTCCCCCCCCTCACACTCACATGATCACATGTTGGGTGGGCCAGCTTTATGACCAGTTGTGGTGTTCGATGATTCTATAACCACAATTTGTGATGTTTCTGGCAAAAAAAAGCCCATTCAAATAAATGGGTTCGTTTAATGATTGCCGTGTTCATTTAACAACTGCTGCAAAAAAGTCCTGAAAATTACCTCTGGTTATGAGGGTGCTTCAACTTACGACTACAACAACTTATGACCATAATTATGGTGTCAATTACAGTCATAAGTCGAGGACTATCTGTAGAAATTAGAAAATTAGTGAATGAATTGTGAACATGCATCATATTGCCTCAGTACTTTGAATGTTATATTATTTTAGGAATGGGGGAAATTTTATGTGATAGTGTAGTCTGACAAAAAAGCAAAAAAAGTAACCAAGGGGAAGAGGGTTGGTTGAAAGTTTTTGGCTTTTTTCAGTAGTAGACAGAAGTATGTGTGAAAAGGGAGAAGAGAAGAAAAATGGTTAAAAATATAACCACAGAATTGAATCAAAAGAGACAATCTGTAGTTCTCATCAATCCTAAACAATCCTTAGATCCTGAATGTGTTATTTGCCTCAGTTTTGATATGCAGTGATATCAAAATAGTTATCCATGCTTTGGTTAGATAAGCTTAAGCCTTTGTAAAACCCAGCCCACAATGCATATCTTTTGCATCCTAATGCCTACATTGGTGTAAATTTCAAAATTAGTGTATGTGTATATTACATTATACTTATGCTATAATGTATAATATAAACATGTACATAAAAATATGTGTTGCAACAGTATTTTTTTAAGAGAAGCTATTAAGTTTTAATAAAATTGAAACGGAACTAACCACATGCTTTTCCATCTGGTCAATAATCAGAGTATATGTGGATCTTCAATCCAAGATTAAAGTTATCAGTTTTCAAATGGCATTTTTTAGTTTATTTTAATAATATGTTGTCTTTTCCTTTTAACGTGTGGCAAAACCTGGTGATAACATGTGCATAGGGTTCTGGTGAAGGCAGCAAACCACCCATTTCAAAAGAAATTGGGATGAAAAATGTGGTAAAAAGAATGTAGATAATTAAAAGAAAAATATTTCTGGGGGGAAAAGTGTCAGGGAAGAGTACAGTGGAATTTTCAACTATTTTCTTTTCCCAGGGAGAGCAAAGCATGATTTTTAACTAGCAAACAGTATATTTTTACAGCCACATTAGCTGAAACTCTCCTAGGAATAAAATGATTCTCAGCAAAATAAGCTGGTATGGAAAACTATTCAAAGAAACCATTTGAAATTTATGGGATAGCAAGAAATTCAAAATGTAGTAGCTAGTCAACTGGGATATATGAAATGAAAATATTAAATGAACCCTCTTTTTCCATATTTGTTTTTAGGTGCAGTTAGAAATAGGATTTGAAAAAGGGACCAAAGGAAGGGTCTTGAACCCAAGCTAGAAGACTTACGTAAAATGTAATGATTTATTACCCATTGTTGCTAATGAAGATCTCTTGATAAAAAAGCAGAATCAAATTTAGTTGACTAAGAAATTAAATTTGGTTTCATATAATTATATAGTTTGTTAAATTACAGGTGGGCATAGAATCAACATTATGGGTTGAGGAAGAAAAAGGTATTAGTAGCAGAAATGACATCAAGGTTTCCTATGGTCAGAGAATATTATTTTTAACTGAGGTGAGAATAAAAAAAAAATGGGGCTATTTATATAGGATTAAGACAAGCCAGAAGAAAAAGTAGCTGAAGAGCAACTGCAATTAAAAGAAGGTTATTTGTGAGAGTTGGATAAATTAATCCCACCAGCATGTGCCTTTATTCTATCTTGAGTTATTCAACATTCATAAAGCAATCTTCAAATACAGGAAGTCCTCAATTTATGACCACAATTGAGCCCCAAATTTATGCTGCTAAGTGAGACATTTGTTAAGTGAGTTTTGCCCCATTTTACAACTTTTCTTGTCACAGTTGTTAAGTGAATCATTGCAGTTGTTAAGTTGGCAGCCTGGTTGTTAAGTGAATTTGGCTTCCCAAATTTGACTTTGCTTGTCAAAAGGCCACAGAAATTGATCATATGACCCTGGGACACAGCGACCTTCATAAATATGAATCAGTTGCCAAGCGTCGGAATTCTGATCCCATGACCATGGGGATGCTGCAACGACTGTGTGAAAAATGGTCACAAGTCACTTTTTTCAGTTGCTGTTGTAACTTTGAATGGTCATTAAGCAAACTGTTTTAAATCGAGGACTACCTGTAATCCCAGACAGAATAAGGATTAACATTCCCATCATGCAAAACATTCACACAGCCAATGATTATTTCTTCTTCCAAGATACCATAATTTAAGGAAACCCCTGGCTCCTATCAATACCATTACTAAACTGTAATAAACCTAATATTTAGCCTATTGCTCCAGACCTTCTATGAATCTATGCAGTAAGGAAACACAAGTTAGACATATCAGAAAATCTGAATAACTAGGTTGGTTGGCAGATTTGCTTTTCTTGCACTCTTCTAAGGATGGTTGGTGCAGGGAATATAGAGGTGTGCTTTTGGAAGTCTGCAAAATGTAATTGCAATACACACCTAGTCTCAAATTACATCAAATATAAAATATAGCCAAACAAATAGCTGTTGTAGATCAAGAGGAAATAATTGCATCTACTTTTTAAAAAAATGAATTTCATTATCAAGCAAAAGTCTAAAAACAGCTGAAGTTTTTAAGATTCATACATCTCCATTTCTCTATTCATCACTTACACTATCTGCCAGCAAATCTTACTGGTAAACTATATCTATTTTCCATTTACCATTTGGAAACTATTCCAAGTTATCCCCTTAGCAGCATATCTGAGATAGGCCTTACCTTTGCTTTTACCATTTTTCTTACATTCGACGAATAAGAGTTTTGTTTGACAGCACATACATTACTCCAGCACTGTTCCAGTGCCTGCTCTCTAGTTCTTCCGCTATAAGGAAACTATCCAATATTTCTTGTACTGTACAGCTTTATAGGGCAAAGTATTAGTTTATAAAGAACACGAGTTATGGAATAAAATAAGCATTTAATTAGAAATGATGTCAGATAACCACTAACATGGCAAATTGCAGAACCACGCCTGCCTTGAGTGATGGGGGGAGAGGGGACTGTCAGACTGTTTAGTATTTGGATGAGAGACCACTAAGCTAGAATAAAAAAAGAAAAAAGAAAAAAAAGCCATTCTGGTAGAAGGCAATAGTAATTTCTTATCAAGAAAATTTCCCAGAAGTGTCCATGTAGTTAAACATAACTTGAGAGACTTGTTTGAGGACTAGAACAGGGGTGTCAAACTCGACTTATCGCAACTTTTGTTTTTCCATTGCCGGCGATGGGGTGGGCACGGTTTCACCATGATGCATCCAGCCTGTGGGCTGGCAGTTTGACACCCCTGGACTAGAGCACTGTCTTATAAAATCTGTTCTATGTCTCACACTATTATGCAGCTCATTATCTCATCCAGCTGGTTAAAAAAAAAATCAAGAATGGCATTCATAGCGATAGTTGCTTCAATTGGCCTTTTGAGTTATCACTTGAATGTCATCAATCAATTATTAAACATAGTTAAGAGTAATCCATCGGATTCAGATAGTTAGGTTTATACAAAAAGGTAAACCAGACCATTTATTTTCTCTGAATAATTTATCTAAAATGAATGGGATCATCCTTGATTCACTGAGAATATATTACGGGTAGTAAAGAGGCAGCTTTCTGGATAATCTTTTGGGGGACTAAGTTGTCTACTTAAATTCAGTACTGGCAATCAAAATTCTCTGGGAGGAAGCTAACAATTTCTCATTCATGAAACAATTGCTTTCTGCATGCCTAAAGGAGAAAGTAAGTCATATCTAATGTACTATAATGGAATTTACTTCCAGATATTTATTCAAAGAACTGTAATGAAAGTAAGGATAATTTTTTACATTCTTCTATTTGTTACGTAAACAGTCATAATGAATATTCTTCATTCTGTACTATGACCTTTCCTTAACAACTTAAAACTGTATTAAACTTATAATCTTTTCAACTGTACACAATATTTTCAACAAATCTTATGCAAACATACATTATGAAGAAGTATTTTCTCAGAAATGGAAAAATACTGATCTGTTACTTTTAAAAAATATGTGAATATGAGATGCGATTCAGCATACACTTTGGAAAGTCATGCTCCTAAACATTTAGTATTACAGGTCTAATGAATTTTTATATAAGTAATTTTGTATAAATCCAAGAACTGAACCCCTGCTAAGAATGTGAACTTTTCTTAACATTTGCAGTTTTATTATGGTCCATATGAAATATTTTCAGTAGAATATTTTGTAGGCAAAAAATGGACCATTGCGGTGTTCATCATAACTTTGCATGTCATGTTTCCTATGATCAATAAGACAATAGCTGAGCTTTCATTGAGTAGCAGTCAAAACATTTTTGCTAAGTTTAGAAAGCCCTTTAATATCTAAAAATAAATAGCAATAGCATTTAGTCTTACAGTATATACTGTTTCATAGTGTAGGTCTTTGGTTGTTCAGGTTTTCTCCCGCGTAAAATTGGAAGTGTCTTGGCAACGTTTCGACGAAGTCTCATTCGTCATCTTCAGGCTGGTGTTTTCAGCTTCGTGCTTTGAGCAGCAATGTGTGGTCTTAGCTGTTTCTTCCTTTTAACTTTAACTTTAACTTTCATAGTGCTTTATAGCAGAGTTCCCCAATGTTTCCAGCTTTGCGGATGGACGGTGGGGGGATGGTTCTGCGCGAGCAGCATGCCTGCCACTTACATAAACAGAGCGCATGCGCTCACCCACTGCTTGCGCAAATGAGGATGTGCATGTACACTCACTGGCCATTATTGCAGCCCAGTTGTAAATCCGTAGCCCACAGGTTGGGGATTCTGCTTTACAGCATTTTTAGAGTGGTTTACAATGTCAGCATATTGCCCCCTCAACAATCTGGGTACTCATTTTACCAACCTTGGAAGGATGGAAGTCTGAGTCAACCTTGAGCCCTGTTAGGATTGAACTCCATATTGTGGCAGAGTTAGCCTGCAATATTGCATTCTAACCACTGCACCACCAATCTATTTATCATAGATTGATAAATATAGATTATTTATAAATCAAATAAATTCTGAAAAGTAATATCACAAGAGGCACAATTATTTGCTTACCAAAATAAGACTAAATTCTTTCTATAAAAAAAATCTTAACCTCATATACAGAGCAAAATTAAATAATATTTCCTGATACATTTTTACAATAAAAATTATGTTGCCAGAACCAGTTAGAGGTGTTAATTATACATACAAACAAAGAAAGCATAGCTTGTATTCCTTTAATATCCAAAACAAACAAATTAGAGGAACTTAAGGTACTTTTGAATAAGCACTTATGGAAAGATTATTAACACGTCAGTTCAAGTTGAGTTCAGTTTTTTGCTTTTTTGTTCAAAACTGTACTGATTCAGGAGTTTAGGTTAAAGCTTACAAATGAAATCCAGTGTATCATATGTGGCTTCTCAGACACATTGTTATCCTCTCTCTAATCCTGAGGGAAACACCTGTGGATGTCAGTCACCAAGCAGATCAGCCAGTAATTGAGCAATCAGGGAGAAGTATAAATCAGGCTGGCTCATGTGCCATGTGATACACAAATGCCTTGCCCACAATGAAAGAAACCCAGCCAATGTTGATCAAAAAGTGGATTTGCACTGTGTTCCCCCAAACCTGAAGATACAACTGTTCATTATTTTATTACCTTCAACAACCAGACCAAGTTTTAAATAGAATTGTGATCAATTTTACTCACTTTGGTTTGAAGTGACAGTTTATCAGGAGCAGAACTGCTGGTTGCTGTGTTACTACAACTAGGTGCTAGGGTTGAGGCCACCTGAAAAATATAGTTATAGTCAGAGATAAGAAACTTGTGGACATTTCAATTAGCAGCACATTAAAGTTTAAAACCAATACTAATTTATAAGAACATATTCTTAGGTTATCTCAGTCTAGACAAAGACCTTTAAGAGTCTTCTTTTTCAGGACTACAGTACTGTACTAGATTAAGGCAATAAAAATTCAGATAAAAGAAAGACAGGAAAAAAAGATAACTTCTTATTGCCATTTTAGTGGGTAACAACTGTTTACCGGGAATGTGGAGTCCTTGGTGCTGAGCTTGGTTGCTTGCAGATGATACTACCTAATTGGAAAATGAAATATCTGCAAGCAAACAACCAAGCTCAGAGACCTCAAGACCTTCCCAGTTCAATCCAGGGCTACGTAAATTCTCTTTGATATCTGATTAAAATAACTATCAATTAATTAATCAGTGGAACGGCTTGCTTTCAGAAGTTGTGAGTGCTCCATCACTGGAGGCTTTTAAGAAAAGACTGGACATCCATTTGTCTGGAGTCTCCTGCTTGACCAGGGGTTTGGTTTAGAAGACCTCCAAGGTCCCTTCCAACTCTGTTATTCTGTTAAAATTATCTATGCCCTACAAACCTCCTTTCTATATGGCTGTTTTTTTCAATATTATTTAGAAACTGAAGTTGATTCCAAACAGAATAGCAAGTTTGGTCAACTGAAGCTAGGACTGATATGCTAATACTGTGAGATTTCCAGCCCTAATTATAAAAAAAACCCCATTCTGCTGATTTTAGCTTCTAAAGCCATCAATAGTCTAGGACAGGAGTCTTCAAACTTGACCCTTTTTATGACTTGTGGACTTCAACTCCCAGAATTCCTCAGCCAGGCACGGTGGCTGAGGAATTCTGGGAGTTGAAGTTCACATGTCATAAAAGGGCCAAGTCTGAAGACCCCTGGTCTAGGACTAGCATACCTAAAGATCGACTTCTTGAGTTCTTTATCAAAAGCTATCAAAATATAACCTCACCAAGTGAAGTGAACTAGGTGGCTACTAGGGACTGCATCTTCTTAGTACTGGCATTAGCTGTGAAATGGCCTCGTCCAAGAGGATGAGGCATCTTTGTTCTGATCTCTTGGATACTGTTGAGTCCTCAGCTTAATGGCGAATAAGCACAGAACATCTCGAAATGTCAAGAAGCCTTTATTGTAGTCTCTTCTGTTCCGTTACAGCTCTGAGGCACGCAGGCCTCTCTGCTTCTCTTAAGAACGCTTCCCCGGGCCGAATGGCAACATTTGGTGCGCTCCGCGCCTCGCGCATGCGTGTGAAGCCCACGCCAGCCAGTCTGGTCCCAGGCAGCTTGCAACTGCCCGGGACCATTGCAACGTCCCGAGCCTGCCTTTGCAGGCTCGGGACACAACACTCCTTCCCCCCCGCCCGGCTAAGACTAATAAACTATATGAATAGTTACACGCGACCTCAACACGAGCGTGGTGTGCCAACCCATGCTCCAAATGGTACCGGGCTATTGTTCTGGGGATTAATACCCAATGCCCGTATTTCCAATGTTCCCAACAGCAGACACCCTCTCGCTGTTTCTGCTTTGCCAGCAGAGTTACAAAGTCCTCAAGTTACTTAGGAGATCTCTTGTCTCTCTGTGACCTCCTTAGACCCTGAGAATCCCCAATTCCATTTTGCCCAGAGGATGACATGAAGTTGCCCCCTCTTTCAGACCCTGGTGGTCCCCATGGACCGTGCCCTGTTGCTTGGTCTGCTTGCTTGCCCACCGGGCTCGTCAGACCAGGATTTTGTTCTCCCAATAACCTGGTTGACCTGCCTAGTTGCAGGCTCTCTGGCCCCTCTATAAAACTGCCATTGTTAGGCAACTCTTTAGAGCCTCCCAGGCCCACACTGGACCTATCAAGGGGCTGCATTCCTTCACTCCCCAGTCCCATAACGGGACTGTCTGGGGTTTCAGTATTTCCCCAAAACTCAGTTGCCCCCCCCACCTATGCCGGAGGTGTCAGAATTGGGATTTGCCCCTCCAACCACCTCCCTGTGTGAATGCCTCCTTCTGGAAACAGTAGCAGTACTGGGCCAACTAGACTGTTTGTGTGCCAGTTCTCTTGCAATGTTTGAGTTATTAGAACGCTCCCGGTTATTCTCCCTGACTGGAGTGCTGAATGGTATTGGTGAATGATGAGTATGCCCCCTGGGTGACTCCCTGGCTGGAGTAGGCACTGGTGCCTGTGTGCTTTCTAGTTCCCATGGATTCCTGCTTGGAACACTTGCGGAATCTTGGAATAGGCCGTCTGTGGCCTCTCTGTTTGGGCCCGGCTGCTGCCAACACCCATCCCTTTGCCCATAGTGGTCCCCCTCCGCCCTGGAAAAGGCCCAGGAGTCTCTGAGGGTAAGTCCAGTCTTGTACGCAGCTGGTCGATATGCTGCCAAAGGACACGAGCATCATCCAACGAGACCTCGTATGACAAAGGACCAGTAACCTTGCATACTACAGCAGGAACCCACAAGTGACCTGGCCCGTAATTACGGGTCCATACCGGGGCACCCACTTGCAAATACCTCGGTGCCCTGGGTTGTGTAGCCTTAGGAGGCTGTCTGTCCGGGTGCAACCGGTCAAGTTTAGTAATCAGTTTGTGCCCCCAGCGAAGTTCAGCTGGGCTTTTCCCAGTAGAAGTTGAAGGTGTGGTGCGGTACGCAAGAAGAAAGTCTGCCAACCTGTGGTGCCAGTCCCCATAGGTCAGTTTCTTTAAAGCATCCTTGGTGATGCGGACCATCCGTTCAGCCATACCGTTGGTGGAAGGGTGGAAAGGTGCAGAGGTGGCATGACGAATCATGTTGGCCTGTAAGAAAGCTTGGAATTCAGAAGAGGTGAATTGAGGGCCATTGTCAGACACCAAAACATCCGAAGCCCATGTGCAGCAAAAATCCCCCTCAGTACTTGAATCGTCTTGGCAGTGGTGGTGGAAGAGACAGGTACAACCTCAAGCCATTTTGAATGGCTATCAACCAGGACCAAGAAGAATTGACCCTGAAAGGGCCCAGCGTAATCAATGTGCACCCTAGACCATGGAGACTGTGTTTCCTCCCATCTATGCACAGGAGCCTGTGGCATTTCTGGGCGTGAGCGCTGACAAAGGTGGCATGCGTGCACCTTAGCTTCAATTTCCTTGTCTAACCGAGGCCACCACAAATGGCTGTGCGCAAGCGCCTTCATGCGTACAATGCCATGCAATAACAGACAACTTGGGGTGAAAATGTTCTTTTAGTAATTTTTTAAAATCTGGGTAGGTAACAGATTCAAGAGGCGCAGGGGCTGCTAAGTTTTCAGCAATTTCAAATGCATCTTGACCACAAACACACAGCAAGGTAGTGGCCTTTAAGCCATCTTCTCTTAGTTGGTTTACTCTAAAATAGTTTTCTACTCTGGCCACATAAGACTCCCATCTTTCTGGGTGCGTGACATCAAATTCAGAGAGTCTTCCTATCTTCGCCATTTTCTCCTTTGTAAGGAAGGGGTCTATCAGCCAGCTTACCTCCAGCGACGCTGTACTGGCAGGCAGGTGCTGAATTTAACACCGTCTTCCTAGCTGCTCTCAGGACTCCTGGGTAAGCTTACAATTCTTCTTCATCAATTGTAAGGCAATCCCACCTTCGTCGCCAGTGTTGAGTCCTCAGCTTAATGGCGAATAAGCACAGAACATCTCGAAGTGTCAAGAAGCCTTTATTGTAGTCTCTTCTGCTCCGTTACAGTTCTGAGGCACGCAGGCCTCTCTACTTCTCTTAAGAACGCTTCCCTGGGCCGAATGGCAACATTTGGCACGCAAAGCCAGCGCCAGCCAGTCTGGTCCCGGGCAGCTTGCAACTGCCCGGGACCGTTGCAATGTCCTGAGCCTGCCTTTGCAGGCTCAGGACACAACAGATACCTTGGCAAAAAGTTTCTCCCAGCCTTTTGCAGAAGTTGCTATCTTTCTGTTTTATGCTGGTTTTGCCACACGTATTGGTATTGCTATGCTATTATCACTGTTATAATTATTTTTTAAAGCTGATTTTATTTCTTTGTACTGGAAATATCCTGCAACTTGTTTTAGAATATTGAAAAGCTATATTTTTATTATATTATGTCAGAGTTGCTGAGCCGAAAGAAAGTTTTAGGGTGGCCTATACCAGGGCTTTTCAACGTTTTCACCCATTGTACCACTTTTAGGATATGGCAACATCCGAGTACCACCAGTCACCTAACAAGGTGTCAAAAACTTGATGACCCCCCCCCAAAAGGAAAAAAGTGATAAAGTACAGATAGTCCTCGACTTACAACAGTTCACTTAGTGACTGTTCGAAGTTACAATGGCACTGAAAAAGTGCCCCCCAAGCCACAGCCGAGCAAGACACCTGCCTGTCCACCCAGTGGCACTCTTCCTCCTGTCCGAGGTTTTCATTGTTGTGAGCAGCGGGGGTGGGGTGGAGGGTGTTTGTTTTTTATTCCCCCCGTCTGCTGGGTGGTTGCAGCAGGTTTTGGTCACTTCACATGACCCTGGGACACTGTGACCATCATAAATATGAATCAGTTGCCAAGCATCTGAATGTAAATAAGACCCTAGAGATGCTGCAACATTCCAATGATCGGCGCTTCTGGGTTCAGTAGAAGCGCCAGGATCAGCGCTGAGCTCCAGCTGGATCCTGGCACTGATCCTGGTGCTTCCACTAAGCCCTGACAGCCCAGCAGCTCCAGCCATCTCTCGCTCAGGCTTGTGCAATGCTGCCACCGGTTCAGCTCAGTCCCCTCCCCTGCTACCACTTTTCTAGGATGGTTGCATACCACCTGCCAGGTGCCAATGTACCACAGGTGGTACCCGTACCACTGGTTGAAAAGCCCTGGCCTATACTACAGACAATCAAGATAGGATTCCAATAGATTTAGTCTCATTTTTTGAAAGTACTTAGTAATCGGAAATTGCCTTTAACATACAGTAATCCCAATATATTTATCCATTTTTGTGCAGAATAGTTATATGGCTATTCTGAAACTATGGTAGAAATGTTTAAGACATTCCTGACGACAATGGACCTGCTAAAATTCCCAAGATATCTGTCCAGATTTCTTTCGATTTTAAGATTTTTTTTTTAAAAAAATTGAAAGCTGATAACTAAAGGGCCAGCTTCAAACATAGTCTCTTATTACCAAGAATACGTTTGAGTCCCATATACTTTACAAACTGAAAATAGTGGGGTTTTTTAGCCTACTATCTGACTTGAACCTCTGCACATCTTCCCAGAAAAAAAAGACAAAAATAAGAGGTAGGGAGCAATTTGGAGGCAATGATGGACAAAGGGAAAATTCAACAGTCCTGCAATATAGGAGTTTCAAGATCAGCCCTTCACAATAGACCCTACAATATTGTATTATATTCCTGACTTTTTATACCATGTCTCATTTATACACAGGACAAACAGGGTGAAAATTTGTTAGCAACTAAGCATTCAGAAAATATTTTACTTTGCGTATTTTGTTTGGAATTGCAGTATTCATATGGGCAGATCTCTTCATAGCTCCTTTTGAAGTTGCAGACTCATCCGACTTCACTGACTGAAACATAAACAGTTATAGTAAATGTTAATACATTTTACACCAATCTACATCCAATCATGCAGACAACCATGATCTCCACCTTTTGATTATTGTTAAAAGATGGACAAGAATATTGACCATTCTGTCTTTTCATTCTCTCCTTCAAAAATGAATTACATTCAGATAATTGTTATTAATCTAGCCAAAATTCATCTCTAACATATTTGCAAACAGCTGCTAACCATGCTTTGAGTTCACTTATTGAGCAACTTCAAAATGTTGGGAAAGGGGACAAAAAGATAGCAAAGGTATAATTAGTTAAAAAAAAAACACTTTCCTAAGTTTCAACAATGTGATGCTTACAGCTAAAAAAAAATGTAAAAGACCTGTCTTCAAGCATGAAAGCCACTTTATTCCACAATAAAAGCACCAAAATCATGAATAACAACTTACTGTTTTGGGCTGATATTTTTTAAGTTTGTATTGTTGCAGCTGATGAGCCATGGAATCAAGAAACCTCTGGCTTCTAATAAGGAAATCTGAATTGTTTTCCTTTTCCCAATTTCCAATTTTTTTCTTCAGTTCTTCCCCTAACTAAATTTGTAAAAGAAATGTCTACGTTAATTATTCTGCAATGTTAACTATTGAGTCCTCAGCGAAGGCAATAACTTCAGGAGTCATTTGGTAGTTCTCAGGAGCCTCTTTATTGATGTTCAGTAGCTCTGTTACAACGCAGAGGCACACAAGCCTCTCTCCTCCTCTTAAAGACAATCCTCGGGCCAAACGGCAACATTTGGCGCGCTTTGCACTTCACGCATGCGCGTGAGTGCTGGTGCCAGCCAGTCTGGTCCCGGGCAGCTGGCAACTGCCCGGGACTGTTGCAACGTCCCGAGCCTGCAAAGGCAGGCTCAGGACACAATACCCCTTCCCCCCCCCCCCCGGCTAAAACTACAACTACATGAATAGTTACATGCAACCTCAACACGAGCGTGGGAGCCACACTAGCTCCATGGAACCAAGCTGTAATGTTTTGGGCTTCATTTCCCATTGTTCCTTATTCCAACCTTTCACAGGAACACCCTCTTACTGTTTCTGCTTTGCCAGCACAGTTACAAATCTTCAAGATATTTAGGAGATCTTTTAGCTCTCTGTGACCTCCGAATTCCCGGGCAACCTCCAAGCACATCTTGTCCAGGGGGTGCTATGTGTTCGCCCCCTTCCTTTGACCCTGGTGGTCCCCATGGACTGTGCCCCGTTGCCTGGCCTGCTTGCTTGCCCACCGGGCTCGTCAGGCCAGGACTTTGTTCTCTCCATAACCTGGTTGACCTGCCTAGTTGCAGGCTCTCTGGCCCTTCTAGAAGGCTGCCACTGTTGGACAACTCTGTAGAGCCTCCCAGGTCTACCCTAGACCTATCATGAGACTGCCTTCCTCCACTTCCCAGTTTCATAGTAGGGCTGTCTGGACTCTCAGTACTGTCCCAAAACTCAGTTGTCCCCTCTGTTAAGCCGGAGCTGTCAGAATTGGAATTCGGCCCTCCGACCACCTCCCTATGTAAATGCCTCTTTCTGGGGACAGTGGCAGTGTTGGGTCAACTAGACGGAGTGTGTGTCAGCTCTCTTGCAAGGTGTGAGTTATTAGGATGCTCCCGGTTATTCTCCCTGACTGGAGTGCTGAATGGTGTAGGTGTGTAATGATTATGCCCCCGGGGTAACTCCCTGCCTGAAGTAGGCACTGATGCCTGTGTTCTAGCTGGTTCCCACGGATTCCTGTTCGGAGCACTCGCGGAATCTTGGAATGGGCCATCTGTGGCCTCTCTGTTGGTGTCTGGCTGCCGCCCACACCCTTCCCTTTGCCCGTAGAGGTCCCCCTCCTCCCCTGGAAAAGACCCAGGAGTCTCAGCAGGTGAGTCCAGTCTCATATGCAGTTGGTCAATATGCCGTCGCAGGATACGACTGTCATCCAGGGAAACCTCGTAAAACAAGGGACCTGTAACCTTGCATACTATGGCAGGGACCCACAAGTGGCCTGGCCCGTAATTACGGGTCCATACTGGGGCACCCACTAGCAATTGCCTTGGTGCCCTGGGTTGTGTAAACTTAGAAGGCAGTCTGTCCGGATGCAACCGGTCAAGCTTAGTAGTCAGTTTGCGCCCCCAGCGAAGTTCAGCCGGGCTCTTCCCAGTAGAAGTAGACGGTGTGGTGTGGTAAGCAAGTAGAAAATCTGCCAACCTGTGATGCCAGTCCCCATATGTCAGTTTCTTTAAAGCATCCTTGGTGATGCGGACCATCCGTTCAGCCATACCGTTGGTGGAAGGGTGGAAAGGTGCAGAGGTGGCATGACGAATCATGTTGGCCTGTAAGAAAGCTTGGAATTCGGAAGAAGTGAATTGAGGGCCATTGTCAGACACCAAAACATCCGGAAGCCCATGTGCAGCAAAAATCCCCCTCAGTACTTGAATAGTCTTTGCAGTGGTGGTGGAAGAGACAGATACAACCTCAAGCCATTTTGAATGGCTATCAACCAGGACCAAGAAGAATTGACCCTGAAAGGGCCCAGCGTAATCAATGTGCACCCTAGACCATGGAGACTGTGTTTCCTCCCATCTATGCACAGGAGCCTGTGGCATTTCTGGGCGTGAGCGCTGACAAAGGTGGCATGTGTGCACCTTAGCTTCAATTTCCTTGTCTAACCTAGGCCACCACAAATGGCTGCACACAAGCGCCTTCATGCGTAAAATGCCAGGATGACCCTCGTGAAGGGAACCTAAGACCCTAGACCTCATTGAGGTAGGAATGACAACTCTGCTGCCCCACAGCAGACAACCCTGGAAAGTGGATAACTCGTTCCTTTTAAGCCTGAAACTCAGCGCCAGGACAACTCTCTGGCCATCCAGACAAAACCCAAGATAAGACACGGGAGAGTGTGAGATCTGTGGCAGATTCAGCAGCCACATCCCTGGCATTTAACGGTGACTCAGGCAACGCCTGAATTGAAAGGATGTTGATGGCAGGGGCAGGATCAGCCTCTACTACTTGCAGGGGTAATCTACTGAGGCCATCAGCATGGCCCATTTCTTTCCCAGGTTTGTGAATTAGAGAAAAATCATAGGCTGACAGAAAGATTGACCATCGCAGCATTCTGGGGGAGATGATATGGGGAGTTTGTTTGTTTGTGGTAAACAGCCCCAACAAAGGCTTATGGTCAGTAAAGACCGTGAAATGTCTGCCATACAAAAAATCATGGATTTTTTTAATTCCAGCAACAACAGCTAAAGCCTCCCTGTCTATCTGGGCGTAGTTTCGCTCAGCAGAAGACAAGGTTCTGGAGTAATATGCAACAGGAACCTGAGTTCCATCCGGCCTAAGGTGGCTGAGTACTGCTCCCACCCCATACGGAGAAGCATCACAAGCGATGCACACAGGAAGAGTTTCATTAAAATGTGCAAGCACATTGTTAGATGTGAGTAAGGCCTTAACCTCATTGAAGCTTGTTTCATGTGTTTGTGACCACTGCCACACTGCCTGTTTGTCCAGAAGCCTATGAAGTGATTCAGCTACATTAGCCTTGTTAGGAATGAATGAATTATAAAAATTCAAAAGGCCCAGAAAAGCCTGTAGTTCGGCCTTGGACTTAGGCCTAGGAGCATGCATAATGACCTTTAATTTGGACTCAGCAGGATGAATCCCATTGGCATCAATTTTGAATCCCAGAAAATCTGTAGAAGGCACCCCAATTTTACATTTGTCCTTCTTGAGTTTGAGGCCCGTTTTCCAGAACCGCAGTAGGACAGCCCTCGATCTCTCAGCTAAATTTTGGGTGGAGTCTCCAGCAATTAAGACATCATCAAAATAGGGGCAAACCCCTGGTATACCCCTCAGTGTGTTTTCCATTATGCTTTGGAAAATTCCAGGAGCCACATTTACTCCAAATTGTAATCTCTTTACTTTGAATGCCCCCCTGTGGGTTACAATGGTTTGTGCTACTGCAGCAGCTTCATCAACAGGCAGCTGTTGATAAGCCTGAGCTAGGTCAAGCTTTGCAAAAACATACCCCCCCCTTGAGGGAGGCCAGGATATGACTGACTACAGGTACAGGATAGGCATGTTGCTGCAATGCCTTATTCAGAGTGCATTTGTAATCTGCACAGATGCGAATGTCCCCATTAGCCTTAAGAGGCGTGACTATGGGGGTCTCCCAAGGACTGGAATCAACAGGTTCTAAAACTCCTTGCTGAATCAATTTGTCCAATTCAGTATCAATTTTCCCTTTTAAAGCAAAAGGAACCCTTCTTGCTTTTACTCTAACAGGAGTGACAGTGGGGTCTAGTTTTAAGGACACAGGGGGCCCTTTGTATGTGCCCAGCTGTGGGCTGAAAACATCTGCAAATTCTTTGCAGACTTCCTGTAGATCTACTGTTTGCAAGCTATTGAGCCCTGTAACATGTATTCCCAAGGCCTCAAACCAATCGAGTCCTATGAGACTCGTTCGCTCACCCCCCACTATCAATACATCTAATGGACCTTCAAAATCCTTATACTGTACGTTAAGGGTGGCCTCCCCCTTAACACACACTCTGGAGTTTTGAAAGTCTGTTAACACAATGTCAGAAGGCCTAAGCTTGGCCTGAAATCCACTACCAGAACAAATCTTTCTGAATGTGTGTATGGAAATAATTGAAAGTGCAGCCCCAGTGTCTAGTTCCATGACCAATGGAACTCCTTGCAACTTCACTTTAAGTGACAGTTTTTTCTTGATAGGTTTGTGTGTGCCTGTCTTATAAATGCTTCTTTGTGAAGCACAGAAACCCACCCTGTTTTGGCTGGGGACCCTGGTACCTTTCAGGCGCAATTCTTCTCGGGGTTGTACCTTCTGACAGCCCAGACACACAGCTGCAATGTGGCCTTGCTTTCCACATGCTCTACAGATAGCAGAGCGAAACCTGCAGTCGGTCCTCTTGCGGCGACCTCCACACCCAAAGCACTTGGGGACAGTTGAAGACTTTTCTTTGCCTTCCTTCTGCTTCCCTTCTTTTGTTGGGTAGAGACGGTCTACTTCATCAGGATCCTCTTCTGAGCTCCCTTGGACTCCCTCCTGGTGCACGGACACAGCTTCTGGAGTACTTCTGATAGGCCTCATATTCTTGATTGCCCCCCCTGCTGCCTCTTCTGCAGTAACCTCTCTCAAGGCATCTTGGAATGATAAGTCTTCTTTGGCAAAAAGTCTCTGCTGCAAGTCTCTCTGTCTCAGTCCACATACAAATCTGTCTCTCAGCCTTTCTTCTAAATCTTTAAACTCGCAAGGCTTAGCTGCTCTTCTCAATGCAGCAATGTACTCTTTAGCTGATTCACCAGCCCGTTGATCCCTCTGTTCAAAAGTATGGCGCCAAGCAATGACAGACAACTTGGGCTGGAAATGTTCCTTTACAATTTCTTTAAGTCTGTGTAGGTAACAGATTCTAGAGGTGCAGGTGGTGCTAGATTTTCAGCGATCTCAAATGCATCTTGACCACAAACACACAGCAGGGTGGTGGCTTTTAAGCCATCTTCTCTCACTTGATTGACCTTGAGATAATTTTCTACTCTGGCCACATAAGACTCCCATCTTTCTGGATGCGTAACATCGAACTCGGAAAGTCTCCCTATCTTTGCCATCTTCAGTAGTACAGGAAGGGTCTATCAGCCAGCTTACCTCCAACGTTTGCTGTATTGGCAGGCAGTTGCTGAATTTAACGCTGTTCCCTGCTGCTTCAGGACTCCAGGGTAAGCTTACAATTGTTTGAAGTAATTGCAAGGCATCCCACCTTCGTCGCCAGTATTGAGTCCTCAGCGAAGGCAATAACTTCAGGAGTCATTTGGTAGTTCTCAGGAGCCTCTTTATTGATGTTCAGCAGCTCTGTTACAACGCCGAGGCACACAAGCCTCTCTCCTCCTCTTAAAGACAATCCTCGGGCCAAACGGCAACATTTGGCGCGCTTTGCACTTCACGCATGCGCGTGAGTGCTGGTGCCAGCCAGTCTGGTCCCGGGCAGCTGGCAACTGCCTGGGACTGTTGCAATGTCCCGAGCCTGCCTTTGCAGGCTCAGGACACAACATTAACTATGTATTTATTCCATTTCTATAGCCGCCCAACTCAACCAAGTGCCCAAGTAATTAGTTTCAAATATAAAAATGGCTTACTCGTAATACTACTTCAGAATAAAACTTTTTACGTCTTAACTGTATTCTGTTAAAACACACAATGCAAAGAAATTATCAATAATTCTAAGAGGTATGTCAATAGAAACATATATTTTCCATTTGAGGAATTTATAGACAGGTTTACTTATATACACTAAAAATTTTGCAATCTACAGAAGAGCCTTATAAAATGAAGCTAGAATAAAAGAGCCAATATAATTATCTTTCATGTTACATTGCAGTTCTTTTAACCTGCACTGTTACAGTATTTGATGTTTGTCCTTTTATTTAGAGAGGTTCACGATAGCTATTCTTCCACTGTTACCCCTATTCTCAACACACATACATACGCAAATGAGAGAAGCTATGAAAACATTGTCCTGGCATTTTACCTTTAACAACTGCTTTTGGATCTTTGAATGTTCCCTTTCTTCTTTTAGCAAGTTACCCCCTCTGTTTAGGAGCCTGCTTGGATCTGTTGATTTTTTCTAAATACAAACAGATTATATATTGAATAACCAAACATGTATTTACCGATAGCAACTTCAATTTCACTATCAATCCTGTCATAAAGGGATCTTCCTTCAGACCTACAGCCAAAGCATAATGCTTACTACAAATGTATTGGATGTAATTTTCTCATTTCATCAACTTAATGCTAGAGTAGGTTTTATTATAGTGATCTATTTATAACAAGAAAACAAACTAGACAAGTCTAAAAAGTCCAAGAATAATATCAAAGTAATAAAATGAAAATACTGCTTATTCACTCAATGACCAGCAAAAATTGAAAATATACAACACCAAAGTAAAATCATATGGGTGAGGTAAAATACTGTACTAGCATAACAAATTATATGATAATATTTCTAGATAATATATTTTCCAATTTAGATACAGGCAGTCCCCCAGTTAAAAATATCTGACTTAAGGACATCCCCTAGATATGAAGGGGTTGCCTATTAGTAAAAAAATGGTAGACAACGTTCTCTTTTCTCAAGCTGACAAAGCATTGCAGCCACACAAAACTTGAAGACCCGGTAAAGCGGCATGTTTTCATATATAGTCTATTTTCAGCAGTTCCTGAAAGCATTGAGTGGGTTTAGTGCTACATTGGCTGCAGGAAAGAGAATGCCTTCTGCTATTTTTAGTAATAGGCAGTCCACCTGTATATATGAGCTTTGACTTAAATATACATTCTGGTTAAAGTCAGGGTTAGGGAATGGAACTCGTTCATAAGCCAAGGACTGTAGGAAAAGAGAAGGCAGAGCTGAGAGGGGGACAGAGTTAAGTGTGTCATCAGGTTAGAGTCATTACGTTCCCACAACTGATCCAAGTCCAACTCCTCCTGAATACCCCTGACCCTTATCCGGCACCAATTTAGTGTTGAACTTCAGTTGACTAGATTCTTGTCTATAAAGCTTCTGTGCTACAACCTAATGGATGGCCCTGCCTCTTTGCACCTGACCTGTAGGAATGTAATGATTCTAAGCTGATCATGTGATTAACTCCCCCCCCCCAGCTATCTGCTTTTCTCCTAAAGCAATACCTGTATTGTAGCTGAATTAGTTTTAAGAATGCTAGAAATAAAAAAAAGAACTATAGTTTCCAAGTTTTAAGAATAAGATAATTTCTCAAATAAACAGGGTTTCTGATTGAAATTGAGTTGGGTTTCTTCTCTCAGTCTATTAAAATTTGCAGTTATAAAGAATAAGATTGATACAGAAATCAGCTTCACTGATCTCATGGCAAAAAAACCCTATTACTCTGAATTTTATCATCGTTGCAACATCCTTTTTCTACCATTTACTTTTAAAAATCAAATATCTTTCTTCCCATTCAGCTTACTAGGTTGGCATTCTCAAAATCTGTTTTTCTGGGGACAATGGGGAGATATTATAACTCTTCTGGAAAATTCCAGCACTGGGCAAATACTGTGTTCTGACTCATGTCAGAAAAGAGTACCGATATTTGCCGTAAATTTTTTAAAAAATAATAAATTACCCCAGGCAATTAAAAAAAATATAAACATTGAAAGAGCATCTACCTGTAATTCAATAAAGCGATCCAGAATGGCCTCCCATTTATGAATACTATCATAAACACACTTGGCTTCCTCATAAAGCACTTTTATTTTGAAAAGTTCCTCATCATGATGGCTCAACAATTCTTCTGAGAAATTTTCTATATAAATCAGAAAACACACCTTTCATTAAACCTTGCAAAAAATAACAAGATTAGAAAAAACACATTCATTGTGTCTGAACCCAGAAAATGTTTTGCCATTTGTCCCACTATTCCAATAAACAATACTTAAGAGATAGTTCATGGGTTGCATTCAAAGTTATGATGCTGCTGAAATAGGAAGACTTATAACGAGTCCTCAGAGTTCTGGCTGTCGTAGCATTCCCAGTGACATGTTTGTGAACTGGGTATTCTATGCCAGAGGTCCCCAACCTTTTGTGCACCAGGGACCGGTTCCATGGAGAGTTTTTCCACGGACCAGAGGGGGCGTGGTTTTGTGTCCTGCTTGAATCCTGCAGATGGGGCTTTGTTTGTTTGTATGGCCCGGTTGCTGGCATGCCGTGGCCCAGTACCGGTCCACGGACCAGGGGTTGGGGACCCCTGCTCTATGATGGGCTGGATGCCAAAACAAAGCAAGATTAGGCATACACTTCAAAAGAGACCAGGAAGATTGTAATTGGAGCGTTTGTCTGGCAGGAACAAAGAATGTTTATTCACAGGGAATATGCACGTGTAAAGTTTGTTAACAATTCTGTGTGGTTAAAAAGCTGATAAAAGTAACAGAAGACTTAGGCTTCTTGCAAGCTCAGCTAAAAGCTAGGAATAGAGATGGCCTGGAGCAAATAGGATGTGTATTAGATAACTCCTGAAACATTTATTAGCCAAGGGTTAGGAGTAGGGACAGCTAGAGACCAATAGAATAATTGTTAGATTATTATTGAAATGTTTATTAGATGATATTTCTTATATATCCCACCTTATCCTGCCTTCTACTTTAGAGAAAATATATAAAACTTTATTAATTCTGTGGTTTGAAGTTCCTTGGCATTTTGGCCAGGATCCCTTTTCTTGGGGCTCTTCAATAAGACAACAAAACCTGCACCTCGTGTCTGGTGTTCTTCATTGGCCTCAGCACCAGGCTCAGACCCGAATTGGGGACAACAATCTGGGGGCTCGTGCCAGAATTCCATACCTGGATTCAATTGGAAGACACCAACGATTACTGGAGGAGGGCTCCCAGATGGATAAGATCAGTGGCTGAAAGGTGTGTGATTGCTCTGCAATAAACTTTCCCGGTTGGTGACCAAGACTGCATTTTCAGCCGCACTCAGGACCCATGAATCTTTGGATTATGGGCGGGTATCTTAAAAAGCAAGGGATGTGCAGAGATCCACATGTCTCACAGATACATAGAGTGGATTGAGTGAATGCAATGAGCCACTGTCTAAATGAACATCTAGTGAAATCCTTGGTGACTTCTTAATTGAACTCAAAGGCTGAAGTCCGAAAAAACCGAGGAGCAGGAACAACCATTGGCAGAAGAAAAGAGAGGGACAGGACTTAGGAAGACAGGTAAGGACTGGACAGGAGACGTCCCAGAGAATAAGGGGTATCTGCCTGAGATCCAGTCCTAAGTAAAAGGCAAACAAAGGCAAAGATTGGACAGGAGACCTCCAGGGGATGAGGGGCATCCGCCTGAGATCCAGCTTTGAAATGGGAAACTGACAGCAAAAAGGCATCCAGTCGAGGGGCGACAGAGTTGCCAAAAGGGAAGCTGCCGAAAGACATGCCGGTGGGATGTACTTTGGCTAATTTTGAATTATTAGGGGAATAGATATAGGGATTAAAGGCAGCCTTTTCTCATTATTGTATGTCTGTCTGGCCTCAAATTCCCTTAGGTAATCCAAGTGACTTTTGACCGCCTCAGGGACCTCATATTATTGGACTTATTGAGCAATTAAAGGCAATTTTGGAGAAACAAAAGAGACAGACAGAGAGACATTACTTGAGTTTATTTGTGAAACTTATTAATAGTCCATTTTTGTTAGAGGAATGTGGAGATAGTGTATATGTGTGTCTGTTTGTGTTGTGTCTAAATTATAATAGTGATTGATTTGCCTAGAAAAATCATGAAATGAAATATCTGTATGGGAAATTGTTTATGCAAGCAGTTTGAATGGAGGATAAATGTGTGAATATGCTGATGTGTAAATGCATGTGTGTGTTGACCGCCCCCCCCCCCAGCCCCTGGGCTGTGAAAGGAATAGTAAGTTGCAGATTTTTTTATTTTTTTTATTATGAGGTAAGAGGGCAATAGCAAGTGTTTGCAGGGAAATGAGACAACGAAATGAGAAAGGTCCCACGGAGGATGTGGGAGAGAAATTCATGGGAAAATGCATGTGAAAGAGGGAGAGGGAGAGAGATAAAAGGATGAGAGTCCTGGGGATTTTCTTGAAGGAATATACCAGGCTTTCAGGCAATACGCTGATTTAGATCCTGATGCTCCAGGCAATCAGAAAATGATAAACATGATTTGTATAGGGCAGTCAGCAGAAGATATTAGGAGAAAGTTACAGAAAGTAGAAGGAGGTCCAGGGAAAGGCGTTTCAGAATTGTTTGAGATAGCTTATAAAGTTTTTACTAACCGAGAGCAAGAGAATAAGAAAGAAAATCCAGAAGGCTCGCCAAAACGCTGTCTTCCTAGTGGATGCCCTTAGTCATCCGGAAGAAGATGGCGAGGAGGGCGAGTTCAGGGGTCCCAAGAAGCAGAGGGCGTGGAAGAGGAAAGGTCCCCTTGGGACCCAACCAATGTGCTATAAAGCAAGGACAATGGAAAAATGAATGCTCAATGGCTATAGCCATGCAAGCAGAAGAAACAGAATGAAGAGGCCAGTGGCAAGGAGCTATTGCTCCCCAACCCCGGTGGAAGTCCAAATTAAGGGGTCTAAACATAAGATGTTAAAAGATACAGGAGCAAGCAGATCTGTCCTTACAAACGGCTGATGAGATAACTCTTGTTGGAGCTTCAGGAAAAACTATTTCAGCCCCGTATTTTTTTTTTTTTACAACATTTAGAATATAAAGTAGGGTGCACTGTGTTAACACACCCCTTTCTGTATTTCCTGGAATGTCCAATCCCACTCTTGGGATGGGACATCCTTAGTAAATTACAAGCAACCATAACATGCAAAGGGGAAAACGTAAAGATGAAGATACCCCAAGAGGAAATATGGAGAGCAACTGCCTTAGTAATAAAAGAAGTCTCCCCAATCCCCCCAGAAATAGAAAATGCTGTGAAACCATGGATTTGGGCAGCTGAACAGCCAGAGAAGGCAGTATTCATTACACCCAGTCACAGTGGCTTTAGCCCCAGGGGGACAAGTGGCTAATATAAAGCAATATAATATTAAATGATGCTTTCTTTTTTTTATCCATTGACAGAAGAGAGCCAACCAATCTTTGACCTTGAATGGCAAGAACCCTCATTAGACATTCCTGTTCAACGTACATGGACTAGATTACCACAAGGATTTAAAATAGTCCCATAATCTTTGGCCAATGCTTGGCCAAGGACCTGTATAAACCATCATGGATCAAGGAGTATTCAGTTGTACAGTATGTGGATGATTTGCTTTTAGGTACCGATACAAAGGAAAAATGTATAGAGGGAACTATACTGCTCTTGAATTGGCTATAAGGTGTCTAAAGAAAAAGCCCAAATTGCTCAGCAGGATGTTAAATACTTAGGATATGGCATCTTGGCAGGACAGCAGAGACCATTAGCCCTGAGGAGGGAAGCAACCTGTCAATTAAAGCCCCCTGTTAACAGAAAACAACAAAGAGGATTCTTAGGGATGGCTGGTTTTTGTAGAATTTGGATTCCTAATTTTGGATTCATTGTCAAGCTTCTTTATGAAGCTGTTAAAGGGGGGAGAGGACAGGGAAATATTTGAACGTACCAAAGAATGCCAACAAGCAGTCACACAAATAAAGAGTGAGTTTATAAGAGCACTGGCACTGGGGCTTTCAAACCCCATTAGACCTTTAACTCTCTTTGTACACGAGTGGAAAGGCATTGCAGCGGGAGTTCTCACCCAGAAATCGGGCTCATGGCAAAGACCTGTGGCATATTTCAATAAGCAGATAGATGGGGTGGCATTTGGATGGATGGCTATTTGCGAGCAATGGCTGCAAACAGCCCTGCTAGTTGAAGAAGCTCAAAAATTAACACTGGGACAGCATCTCATAATCAAGTCCCACCTGGGGTTCAAGAGCTTATGGAAGTAAAGGGAGCATTTTGGATGACTGGGAATCGCCAAGTAAAATATCAGACTCCCTTGCTTGCCTCCCTAGCCATACAATTAGAGGTATGCAGTACATTCAATCCAGCTGCACTCTTGCCCCAGGTGAATACGGAATTATATCACAATTGTGTACAGGTGGTGGATTCAGTCTATGTCAGTAGACTTGGTCTTAGTGATCAGCCTATCCCAGGGGTAGGCTGGCTCAGGAATTCTGGGAGTTGAAGTCCACAAGTCATAAAAGAGCCAAGGTTGCCTACCCTTGGCCTATCCCAAATGCTGACTGCGAGTGGTTTATAGATGGTAGTAGAAGGTAGAAGGCCAGAGAAAGTTATAGAAGCCAAGCCATTACCAGTAAAACACTTCTGCCCAATTGGCTGAGCTGGTCACTTTAACTAGAGCCTTACAGCTGGCTGTGGAACAAACAGTAACCATTTACACAAACAGCAAATATGTCTTTGGAGTCTTGCACGCCCATGGAGCCTTATGGAAGGAAAGGGGATTATTAAATGCAAAAGGATCAACTACTAAGTATGATCCACGAATTTTAGAATTATTGGAGGCAGTTCAACAGCCAAAACAAGCAACAGTCATACATGTCAAAGAGCAGTCTAAGGGAGACACCCTTTACGCAAAAGGGAACCAGGCTTCAGGCAGGGCTGCTAGAGAAGCTGCCATATGACACTCAGAATTCGCAGCCTCCCTAATTCCAATTTCTCTTTCCATACCCACTTCTCCACCCAAGAACAGGGCATGGGCCACGTCAGTTGGAGGCAGGGAGGGGAATGATGGATGGTGGAGGGCAAACGTATTCTGCCAGATACACCCCTAAGGATTCTTTTTTCTCAAATACATGCAAGCACACCTTGGGGGGGGGGGGAGGCAAAAGCCCTGGTAGACTTTGTGGCATGCTATGCAGTCGGCAAGGGCTCTATTCTGTAGCCTCCCCAACTATAGCAGCTTGCCTGATCTGTGCCAGAAATAATCCCAAAAGTGGCCAGGAACCCACCCCTAAGAGTCCAACTTAAAGGCAACTATGCAGCATGGCTGGCTCAGGAATTCTGGGAGTTGAAGTCCATGAGTCATAAAAGAGCCAAGGTTGCCCACCCCTGCTCTAAGCTGTGACAGACATCTTAGATCAGTGGTGGCGAACCTATGGCATGTGTGCCAGAGGTGGCATGCAGAGCCCTCTCTGTGGGTACCCATGCACGCCATCGCCCCAGCCCCACTTCCCCCTGTGGCCCCGTCCTCACCAGCAGCCCTCCTGGAGGAAAGTCATCCCGGGAGCTGCCCACATGGAGCAGTGCAGCCAAGGACATGGCAGCTGGGCAGCAGGGACAAGACTTCGCCCTTGTGCCCGTTGAATACAGATGATGCTGCGGGGCACGAGCAGAGGGCATGGCCACCATGTTACTGCAGGGCCACTTGGGCAATCTGCTGCAATGGGCTGTGGAGGTAGTAGGTTACCCTGTGGGTGAGAGGGGGGGTTGGCAGGGCGCAGACCGCAGCAGGGGGGCGGGGCAGTTTTTGAGCACTCGGTGTCTAAAAGGTTCGCCATCACTGTCTTAAGTCTACGGCTGCTGTTTAATAGAACCAAATGACTGGAGGGGAATTTGTATTCTGCGTTTCCTGGTTACCTGTTTTTTTTCAGGACATTGTATGTTATGGAGGACTTTCTCTCTGAACTGTGCTATTTGAGAGAACATTGGACTGACACCTGAAATCATAGGGAGCTTGAACAATCCAGAAAGGACCTGAAGGAATACCGACTATCTCCTGGTTTAGTGGGTTCCAGTCCCTCAATAATGCCATATATCATATACAAGCAGTGGTGGAATTTCTAGCTAATAAGACTGGGGAGCTTTTTATTGCTGCAGCAAATGACAAATAATAATTGAGAATAGAATGGCTCTAGATATGGTATTGGCATCCAACAGAGGTGTGTGTGTGTGTTAATTGGACAACAGTGCTGTGTGTATATTTGCTGAGGAAATCCAGGACCAAGCTGCACACATAGCAAAGATAGCTGCAACCCCACACATTAAAAAAAAGGGAAGGCTGGTGGCATTGGCTGACAGGATGGTTACCTGATTTCAGCTAGTTGAGAACCCTAATAATGAGTCTGATGGGTATAGTCATTGTTCTCTTAATCACCTGTTGTGGATTACAATGCCTTCCAACTTTGCCTTTCTGCCTGTAGGCAAACTATGCGGTCTACCTGTACACGGATAGTGATGCTGGGTGAATCTTGGAAAATGAAATCATTTTCAGATTCAAAGAGGGGGGAAATTATGGGCTGGTTGCCAAAACAAAGCAAGATTAGGCATACACTTCAAAAGAGATCAGGAAGCCTGTAATTGGAGCGTTTGTCTGGCAAGAACAAAGAATGTTTATTCACAGGGAATATGCACGTGTAAAGCTTGTAACAATTCTGTGTGGTTAAAAAAGTAACAGAAGATTTAGGCATCTTGCAAGCTCAGCTAAAAGCTAGGAATAGAGATGGCCTGGAGCAAATAGGATGTGTATTAGATAACTCCTGAAGCATTCATTAAGCAAGGTTTAGGAACAGGGACAGCTAGAGACCAACAGAATAATTGTTAGATTATTATTGAAATGTTTATTAGATGATATTTCTTATATATCCCACCTTATCCTGCCTTCTACTTTAGAGAAAATGTATAAAACTTTATTAATTCTGTGGTTCGAGGTTCCTTGGCATTTTGGCCAGGATCCCTTTTCTTGGAGCTCCTCAATAAAAGCCTGAACTTTGTGTCTGGTGTTCTTCATCGGCCTCAGCACCAAGCTCAGACCCGAATTGGGGACAACATCTATGTCATCGAGGCTAGCTGCACTCATATGATCATGATTTTGTATGTTTCCTGCCAATTTCCCACAATTCAGTGGGGAAGCCAGCAGGAAATTTAAAATTGTTCCCGCTACTTTTTCACCCATGCCCACAGCAACCCTCTCATATGCTTTTTAAAATCTCTTTGCTTTCAAGCACAGGACTTCCCATGCGTAAAGTAAATAATGATTACATTTAAAATTTAAAAACATATGCTACAATGAATTACCATCATAAAAGGGCTGAAATGCGCCTTTTTGTTCATCGGTATAAAAGCATTTTTGCCAATAGCTCTCAAGCTCTTGCCTGACTTTCAAAGTAATTTCTTTAAGTTTCTCTTTCTTCAGCTCTTCTAAAGTTCGCAGTTCTTTCTCCCACTAATGAAAACAAGATGAAACCATTGTCAATGGTTACACAATATACTTCACTTATTACATTCAGGTTAGCAGTGGAGAGAGAGGTCAAAATTCTCCTTCTCTTACCATATTTGTGGCTTCGCAGATGGAACACAGGCTGGTCATTTTTGTGAACTGTTCTTGTTTTTCTTGTGGCCACTGAAGTCTGTCCCACAGAAGTTGAACTGCTTTCATTATGACCTCCTTGGTGGCTGTCAGAGACTCTTTCTTCTTCTGCAACTTCAAAGGCACACTCAAATCAGTATATGCAAAAAAGGTTATCTAAAGAATGGAGAACTAAGAATTTGGTACAGCAGTTAAGACACTAGGCTAGAAAGTGGGAGAGTGTGAATTCTAATCCCACCTTAGCCATAAAAATTAGCTGGGTGACTTTGGGCCAATCATCTCTCTCAGCCCAACTCATTCTGCAGGGTTGTTGTTGTGGGGAAAGTATAAGGAGGAAGCTGTGTTGGATATGTTCACAGCCTTGAGTTATTTGTAAAGATAATAAAGATGGGATACAAATGAATAAAAACTAAGGTAAGTGAACTGTGTTTCTCTTTAAATAGTAGCCTAAAGGGAAAAGCAAGTCAGATCTAACAGAACCTATGTTGACTAGTAAGTCAATAGGGAAAAAAGGCCCAGTTTCCATGTTCCTTTGCTCAGTAAAGGATAATGGTTGATAATGGAACATAATCTCTTTCTCTCTCTGTATGTATGTTCAAACGTTGTAAGAGACTGAAAACAACAATAATTAAAATGCTATTAAATAGCTTTTAATAAGTATAACCTTAACCTCAATCATTTGCACAGGCTGCTGATACTGGACAGATCCAAAAGATGAGCCTGAGCTAAAGAAAACACTAATTAAATTAATTAAAACTTGATTTATTATCATTCTTACCATCACCCCTTTGTAATGTTACAAAGTCTAGTATAGGGACGTCAAACCCGATCACATAATAGGCCGTACCATGATGTATCGGGACTTGTGTTGCCTTTGCGGGGCCAGGGTAGGAGTGGCCTGCTCAGGCCACATCCGGCCCGTGGGCTGCTGTGTTTGACATGCCTGGTCTAGTAGACTGATAAACCACATTGTATAAATGCTATGAATCCACACCAAGAAAAGCTGAGAGACTTTCATTTTGGAGCCTTCCTTGCTTTTTATGAAATATGATGTTAAACAATATTGTGAGTTAATAGCTCAGGTAATTGATTCACAAAAAGCCCAACCTGATGGATAAGCAGTTGGAGATCTTCAAGGTATTTTACTGTAAGGCAAATGTACTTTTCTTCGTCATCACATAACATATTATTTTCCAGTGTTCCATCAGATATGTGTCCAATTTCTTTACTATGTAGTCTGACTTCTCTCCTCAGTTTATGAAACTCTTTTAATCTTTGTTCCTGTTCAAATAAATAACTCAATAGATTAAATGTCTTAAAATTAAAGAGCTCATTTTAATTTATTCCATTTTTATTTTTACTGTTATGCAATTTAGAATCTGCCCAACTCATAATATCACAAAGGAAATTAAATACTGTATTAATAAGAAAAAAACCCAAGATAAAAAACAAATACAAGAACAAATAAGATGAGCAGGCACTGCAGCATGGAAGATACACTTCCTACAGTAGTTCCTAAAAGATAACACCGATTGAAAGGGTCTGGAGCATGCCAATCTTGTTGGCTCATATCAGCCAGGCAGATACCATGAAAGATAGACAGTCCGCTTAAACCATGGCTGTTTCAACAAACTTGGGGATTCTGTGCCAACAGTGACTCCATGTATTGGCTGCATCATGCATAATATTCTGATGTGTTTTTTCATTACTTTTTTAAAAAATTATATTTGTTTTATTTGGTTTTTGTATACTGTTTCAACTGTTGGTTTTACTGTAAGCTGCTAAGAGACAACTTGTGTGGGATGGGTGGCCGTATAAATTTGATAAATAAATTACTGATGGTCCAGCGAGGGAGTTGCCACTCTGAAGGTACTCAGGAAAACTGTCCTCCACAAAGAACCTTGTAAGAAGAGGTTATTAGTTGACTTTCCATTAATCGTAAAATAGAATCTCTGCATATTCCTCCATGTCATGCTTAATTTGATTACAAATTCTTTGCATATTCTAGATGAATATCTTGCATATCTTCTGGCAGCAAACTTTATAGAATTTGATGAGATGAGATGAAGAACAGAGAGATCTCACCATGCTCACTCATTCTTTTTCGCTCAAGAAAACAGAGTGCTCATTTAGCTTATTTTTTTCACTGCAATGTCTGATTTGCTCATGAAGAGATATAAATCAGTACCGTACCTTTACTTCCAGAAGATTTGTAATATGTTCTTTTAGTTCTTTCAACTCTGTGGTATTCGGAATACTGCCAGTAGGGATATTATAAGGGGCTACACAAAGCTCTGTACACAACGCCTGATCCTCTCTGTGTAGCTGTATCAACTTCTCCAGCCGCTCCTGTTTTTCTTTAACAGCCCTTACTAAAGCCAGACGATATTCCTTCTCTGACTGAAGGATAGTTAGTCTGTCATCAGCCTGTAAAGTTATACAGCAAATATATATATTTAGCACTTCTGTGAGTGGCCTCTCTCCGATTGTTTGCTGATTCTACTAGAACAGAAAAGAACATAACAGAGCTGGAAGGGACCTTGGAGGTTTTCTAGTCCAGCCCCCTGCTCAAGCAGGAGAACCTATACCATTTCAGACAAGTGACTGTCGAGACTTAAAAAACTCCTGTAAGGACCCACCCCACTTTGCATCTTAAGAAGACAGAACTCTTGGAATAATTCTTCCAACAGGCATCCTTTATTAAGAGAAAATGGTTGCAGGCGTTCTAGACAGGACATGGGGTCCAAGCTCTCCCATTCAAGGTTTTAAGGGGTTCCCCAGTAGTCCCACCCAATCACCCCCCCCTCTTCCAACGACGGTTTCAGGCATTACAATTCTACCCCCTCTTTTCCTTTTTGCTGGCTGGATGGAGACTTCAAAGAAAACTACATGAAAGGTAACAGCTCCATTCTTATGGTTAGCTCTTTTGGCAATACACACAATCAGTTCCTTTGAAGTGTACCGAAGGAAGTGAGAGCCATAAAGCCCCTTTGTTCACCCTCTTCCCTTCATCGTATGGCAGAATCCATAGAAGGCAGAAATGGGGTTTTTTAATAATTGATAACTAGAGATGAAATATAATTGGATTCTGACATCCTGCCCCTCAAAAATACGACAGATGCACCTGAAAGAAAACAAAACAGGTATAAAAGTTAGTCAGGCTTGTTAGGGTATTCTGTGTGAAACTTCTTCAATAGCTCCGGGGCTCTGACATGACGTTTATGGACCCACTCATTTTGTGAGGGAGGGGGGTGTTTCCAGGCAACTAGGTACTAAGTCGCTCCATGATATCTCCTAGAGTCAAGGATTTCCTTTATTTCGAAGTGTTGTTCGCCCTCTACCATGCTTGGAGGTGGTGGTGGGGGGATTTTTGGCCATAGAGGTGACTGACGCTCTCTTTTCAGCAAGCTGCAATGAAAAATTGGGTGTATTTGCCTGAGATTTTTGGGTAATTCTAATTCTACTGTTACTGGGTTTATGATTCTTTTAATTGGAAAAGGTCCTATATATTTTGGTCCAAGTTTTTTTACAGGGCTTTAGGGACTTTAGGTATTTTGTAGATAAGTACACCATTTCTGCTATAATGAATGGTGACGGCTCAACCCTTTTTTTATCGGCTTGTGCTTTGTATGCCTGCCTAGCTTCATCTAGTGCTTTCCTAACTATTGGCCAGGTGTCTTGTAATTGTTCCATCCATTCTTTCAGTGATGGGATCGTTGGTTTCTTTGGGGTTAATTCTGGCATGGGGTTGAAACTTTGGCCGTTGGCTATTTGAAAAGGAGTGTAGCCTGTGCTGGAGTGGACTGCATTATTGTAGGCAACTTCTGCAAAAGGGAGTAAGTCCGTCCAATCACTTTGTTGGAAATTCAAAAAACATCTCAAATATTGCTCAAGTACTGAATGACAACGTTCCGTTTGTCCATCTCCTTGTGGATGATGGCTAGATGTCAGTCCCTGAGTGGTCCCTAAGAGGGATAAAAATTCCTTCCAAAATGCAGACGTAAATTGCACTCCCCTATCAGAGATGATGCGTTGGGGTGCCCCGTGCAATCTGTAAATGTGCTGGACGAAAAGTTTTGCTAAGGCCTTTGCAGTGGGAATCTTTTGGCAAGGGATAAAGTGCACCTGTTTGGAAAACAAGTCTGTGACCGTCCAGACAACAGTATTCCCATTGCTTTCTGACAATTCCACTATAAAATCCATGGCTATTTCCCTCCAGGGGACTGAGGGATTTGCCACTGTTTGTAATAGTCCTGGCGATTTCCCTTGCAACCTCTTTGCAGTTGCACATTTTGGGCAGCTGGCTACATAATTTTCTATGTCCTTTTTTATTGATGGCCACCAAAATTGCCGTTTAATTAAGTGTAAAGTTTTTACAAATCCAAAATGCCCTGCTGATTTTGTGTCATGGCAAAGCTGCATGAAAGTGACTCTTTGGGTTGTTGGTATATATAACTTTTCCCCTACCCAAGGCAACCCGTCTCTCATTGTGCACACATTTTTGTTTTTCTGGAACCATTCGTCTGTTTCCAAACTGAGGATGTTCCCTTCGTTTTTAGTAAGTTAGTGAGGGGCAAGGCTATCTGGGCAAATGAGGGGATGAATTGGCGGTAAAAGTTTGCAAAGCCCAGGAAACTTTGTAGTTGCTTTCTTGTGTGGGGTGATGCCCAATCTAATACTGCTCTGAGCTTCTCTGGGTCCATTTCAATGCCCTGGGGGGATATGCGATAACCTAGGTAGTCTATCCTTTCCTGGTGGAATTCGCATTTTGAGAGTTTGGCATATAGGTGAGCGGCTCGCAATTTCTTTAAAACCGCTCTGACAAGGTTGACATGTTCCTCTTTTGTTTCGGTGAAGATAAGAATGTCGTCCAAGTAAACAAGGACCCCCTTAAACAGGTGCTCCCTTAGAATGTCATTGACTAATTGCATAAAGACTGCAGGGCCCCCCTTGTAATCCAAATGGCAAGACTTTGAATTGATAGCATCCCATGGGGCAGTTAAATGCGGTCTTCCATTCGTCCCCTTCCTTAATTCTCACATGATAGTAAGCTTCCCTTAGGTCTAGTTTAGAAAAATTTTTCCCTTTCGAGAGGTGTGACAGCATGTCTTTGATGAGGGGCAGAGGGTATAGGTTACTTTCACTGATTGTATTCAGGGCCCTATAATCCACGCATAAGCGTAAAGAGCCATCCTTCTTCTCTCTAAAGAGGACCGGGGCAGCCACTTTAGGCTTGCTGGCTCAATGAAACCCCTCTCTAGGTTTTTTTTTTTATGAATCTTTCCATTTCCTCCTTCTCCTTTGGGCTCATGGAGTGTAATCTGGGCTTCGGGAGTTTTGCCCCAGGCTTGAATTCAATGGTACAGTCTGTGGGTCGGTGGGGGGGGGGAGCTCATCCGCCCTCTCCTCACTAAAAACTTCAGCAAGGTCTCTGTATTCCTCTGGTATTTCTGTTAGTCCCTTTTCCTCTCCCATGGATGCTTTTTCTATTCTTGATTCTGGTAGCCCCCCTTGGGATTTTAAGTCCATAGGGTCCCCCTTTGGGAATTTGATTTCTGTCATCCTCCAATTTACCCAGGGGTTCCATTTTTTTAACCATTCCATCCCTAGGATCATTGGGCATTCCATGCCTGGGGTCACCACAAACGTTTTGTCCTCCTCATGTTTGCCCAGGGAGAGGTGTATTGGTAGAGTGGCTAGGGTAGCTGGCACCCCCCCTGCTATGGATCCATCTAACTGGCCAAATGAGATTGGTTGTTCTAGTCTCTTTGACGGAATGCCCAGATTCCCCACTAGTGTTGGGCTAATGAGGCAGCGGGTGCAGCCAGAGTCTATTAAGGCTTTCACCTTCACGGCTTCGGGCATGGGGGAAATTAATATAGTCACTGTCTTGAGGATGGATGCGATGCGTCCACTTACCAGGGGTTCGCCCTCCGAGCTGTCATCTGAGGCATCCACCAGCCCTGCGGTGTGGGCTGGAGTTCTTTCCCCCTGATGAGCAGAAGTGGGGGGTTCCGCAATTTCCATCATTCTCATGGCAGTTTCTTTTAGCTTAGCTGAAGACTTTCCGGATTTGCTGATTGGGGATCTGTGTGGGTTGTGCTGGGGGGCTTTGGAGCACCATTCTACAGCTCGATGCCCTTCTCTTCCTCACTTGAAACACCCCATTTGCTTCTTGGCTGTAGCCAATGGTTTCACTGGTTTGTGTGTCAACTCAGGCAGGGAGCGGCTCCATTGTTTTCCTTGGCGGTGTCTCTTCAATATGTCGATCTCTGCTTCCTCTGCCAAGATGTACCGTTCCTCAAGTTGGTGTGGGTCCCCTTGGGGCAGGCAAGCATCATATAGGTCATAATTTAGTCCGTCTTTGAAATGGCTAAGGAGGATGTCTTCTGGCCAGTTCAGTTTGCTGGCAATGGCCCGGAATTCTTGCGTATATTCAGCCACCGGGTGTCTGCCTTGCCTCATCGTTTTTATCCTTTTGCGGGCTTTGCGATCAGCCAGGGGGTCTTCAAATCGTCTTCTCAGAGAGGACATGAAATGGTTGAAGTCGCTTTCTGGGGCATTGGAATCGTGCAAGTTCACCACCCAATCTGCAGCCGGTCCATCCAGGGCAGATTGCACGATCCAGATGCGGGCTTTGTCGCTGGGGATGTCCTGCCCGTATTCCTCCATGTAGCTGAGGACTTGGGTTAGGAAAAACCCCAAGCGTGTTGGCTCCCCTTTGAATTTCACCTCCAACGGCGGACGTCTTGGAATGGATCGGTGCCTCCGTTGCTGGTGCTAGTGTCTTCCGTCCAGATCGCCATCTGTGGTTCAATAGGGGGTGGGGACTACTGGATCAGCAGATGTCCCCGGGGTTGCAGGTTCCACTTCCCCCTCTGTGTCTCTCCCTTTGCGGCTCCAGGAGCTGAGGCGGCCTTAGGGCTCAGGATTCTCCTCTCCTAGGGAGTTGAGAGTTCTCTTCATCAGGTCAATAGCTTTCTGTAGGATCCAGTCTGAGTACGGTGCCCAGCTTTCTCCCTCTTCACTTGCGTGCATGGATTTCTCCATCTCCATCTTCTGCTTCCATTCTGGTTGCTTGGCCCCCCGTCTCAGGGTCACCTTTCTTGATTCCTTTCCCCACTCACTTTTCTTTCCAACGCCCATTGACCAGCGAGGCTTGTGGTCCCGTGTCTCCACTACTTCTTCTCCTGAGGAATCTGACCTCTCTCCCAACATCTGGCAAGGTTCCAGTTGGGGCAGCGGCTCTCTTTCCAGGGAGTTTCCCCCCTTTCTTGCTCCATTGTCTGACATGTAAATTTTTGCAAAATCCCCCGGCAAGGGTCTCCCTTCCAGGCGGATTAATTTTGCAAGTCCTGTCTAATGTAAGGACCCACCCCACTTTGCATCTTAAGAAGACAGAACTCTTGGAATAATTCTTCTAACAGGCATCCTTTATTAAGAGAAAATGGTTGCAGGCATTCTAGACAGGACTTGGGGTCCAAGCTCTCCCATTCAAGGTTTTAAGGGGTTCCTCAGTAGCCCCACCCAATCACCCCCTACTTCCAGTGACAGTCTCAGGCATTACACTCCCACCCCGTTTTCCTTACTGCCGGCTGGATGGAGATTTCAGAGAAAAGTACATGAAAGGTAATAGCCCCCTTTGTTATGGTTAGTCCTTTTGGTGATACACACATCCAGTTCCTTTCTTCAGAGAAAACTACATGAAAGGTAATAGCCCCATTGTTATGGTTAGTTCTTTTGGTGATACACACACCCAGTTCCTTTGAAGTGTACCGAAGGAAGTGAGGGCCATAAAGCCCCTTTGTTCACTCCCTTCCCTTCATCGTATGACAGAATCCAGAGAAGGCAGAAATGGGGTTTTCTATAATTGATAACTAGAGATGAAATATAATTGGATTCTGAAACATGGTTTCATTGAAAACAAATTTGGGGCATGACAACAAAATCGAGAACAGTTAAAACTAGTCCTCCATATTTCCCTGCTACAAGCCAAATGTCGCGATACATCAGGCAAATAAAATGATTACTTACTACAAAAATTAAAAACCGAGTACCTGTAATTGGGAAGAAGGCTTTTAGTTTATAATACTTTGATCTAAACTATATTAAAGTGGCAGGCTTTTTATTCTCTCCGGAGAGACAAGCCAAGAGGGAGAGCGAGGTAGGAAGTTTATTCTCCGGAGAAAGAATAAAAAACTTTTTCGCCAACTTCCTACCTCGCACTCCCTCCTCTTGGCTTGTCTCTCTGGAAAAGAGAAAATAAAATCTTCTTCCCCCAGTTAATCTCCTTTTCCCTTTTAAAAATCCCTCCCCAAGAGCCCCGCCCTGCCGCCAGCCACCGCAGAGGCAGCCGGAGCTCCTGACCTCTCTGCCGAATCCGCAGAGCTCCGGCAAAGCCTCCCAGCCAGTGCCGATCCTCCCCCAACTCTCCTCTCCACTACACTTTCTTCCTTATCTCCTTCTCATCTCTTTCTTTCCTTCACGCTCAGGAAGGGGTGATGGGAGGGGGCGAGATTGCCAGCGCTGCCATGTTGCTGCTGGTCTTGCTATTCTGCGTGGGGGAGGGCCTCTCCCGGTGAAAGGAAGCCTTGTGGCTGTGAAGCTGGTGGTGCTGGTGGGAGGGATGGGGGTGCACTGATCTACAACCTGGTTGTGTCCATCAAAGCCAGAATGCGCTCAGCCTTAAATCCAGGGGCAGCTCTGCCCTGCCCTGCCTCCTGGTGTGCGCGCAAATGAAGTCCCATCCCTGCTGGCTGTCTTGCCCAGCAAGCTGACTTCACACAGGATGCCGGCACTGGTTGTCTCCTGGGTGCACACCTAGGGGGCAGGACAGAGGCAGCGGGGCAGCTCCTTGCTAGTTCCAGTGGATCTTAGTGGTTCCAATGGATCTCCAGCAGTTCCAGAGGAAGGAACGAATGGAGGGAGGGAGGGAAAAAGGGAAGGAGGAAGGAAAGAAAGAACAGAGGAAGGGAGGAGGGAGGAACAGAGGGTGGGAGGAAGGAAGGAAGGAAGGAAAGAGGGACCATGTCCCTTCGCTTGCCCTGGTCCCACCCTCCTCCACCGGAGACCCTCAGATCTGCCCCAGTCCTGCCCAGGCACCCCTGAAGTGAGTGAGTGTTGAGATGGCCATGCCCACCCAGTAGGCCATGCCCATCCCGGCCACACCCATCTGCCCCACCCCCACTCCCCAGGGTAAACACAATGCTGATGCTGCCCTCAATGAAATTTAGTTTGACACCCCTGATCTAAACTGTATTAAAGTGGCAGTTGCTGAGAGACAGACACTTGCATTAAAGATAAATACCTCTTCCCTTGAGCAATTTATTTTGCAGGGAAAAAAAGTACTGTACCCTGTTTCAGGTGCTTTTAACTTTCCTGTATTGTTAGAGAGAGAGAGAGAGATATTGGATTTAATGGATCTTCCGAAGCTTTCCAAGTTTTTAAGTAGCTGTCCTAAACACCCCAATGTTTTTCACACATTTCCAAAGGGGATAATATATTCAAACAAGTTAATTTTACTTGAAGCACAATACATCTTAGAGTAACATCCCTCCCCCCCCCAAGGTTTTACAAAAAGAAATGCTAGCTGTCTTTATTTGAATACAGCTTGCAACCTTTAGGAAACATATTTTCCATAAAATTTGCAAAGAGCTTCTTTGCACAGGACTACTAAATAAAAAAAATAGGAAAAAAATTGATAAGACAATTTGATAAGGTGCCCCTACTCCAGTTTACTGTATTGTATTTCGAAGAATTCAAGATAACATTTTGTTTAATATTTTTCCTATTATCTTCCCATTAAGTAGCTTTCCTTTTCTAGTTTCAAAATCTCTGAAAAGCCTGAATTTTTATCATTACAATGAAAGGCTAGAATTATGCAGAATAGTCTGATCTCTCAACACATTATACATTTCAGAAACTTTATGTGGCATTGTCCACATATTTTTCCCAGCTGTTGACTTTGTCTCAATCAGCAACTTTACATATTTGAAGAACAATTGCAATGTTCCAGTGACGCTGTGACATTTCCAGGTATGTGGGATGAAATCATATTGGACTTTTTGGGGGTGCAATTTAAAATGAAAATGGATCTTAAACTTACACAAGAACTACTTAAAAATTATTGTGCTGAGAATGGTTATTTTGGGATAATCATACTGTAAACTAGCATGATCACAGGCAGACTGCCTGTAACCTATCTCTATTTTACTTCAATGAAACCAAAATTTCTATTGGAGCAACATTTGATGGCCAATATCACATCATACCACAAAACAGCAATTTTCCCCTAAAATGGGTTCTGGGAATTGGTACTGGATGTTTCATGCAATCCAATGTCACATAAGACACTTTACATTTCAAGGCTGTTATTCTGATCCATACCTCAATTTGGGACTTTGCAACCTGCATGCGTTCAAGCTGCAACTCTTTGCTAATTCCCATTGCATTCCACAAATCTAGAAGCTTTCCCAGTGCTTGATTCACACTATTAATCAGGGAAGAAGCCAAAATTTCACTGAAAAAGAAAAGAGTAATTTCAATGCCATGAGGACACTTTATGCACGCATTGCCTTTACTCCCAAAGGTGCTTTTTCAAAAGGCAACTGGACTTTGTTTTTCCTTGAAGACATTTTGCTTCTCAGCCAAGAAGCTTCTTCAGTTCTGCTCCCTACATCAGAATTCTCATTTGCATCACATTAGTATTAATATTCCCCTTTATGGATTACTGCCTTGTCGTGGCGAAGGGGCTTGCGTAACTCAATGAAGCTATAAGCTATGCCGTGCAGGGCCACCCAAGACGGACAGGTTATAGCAGAGAGTTCTGACAAAATGTGATCCACTGGAGAAGGAAATGGCAAACCACTCCAGTATCTTTGCCATGAAAACCCCATGGACAGTACTAAAAGGAAAAAAGATATGACGCTGGAAGATGAGCCCCTCAGGTCGGAAGGTGTCCAATATGCTACTGGGGAAGAGCAGAGGGCTAGTACTAGTAGCGCCAGAAAGAATGAAGCGACTGGGCCAAAGCCGAAAGGACGCTCAGCTGTGGATATATCTGGTGGTGAAAGGAAAGTCCGATGCTGTAAAGATTTTTTCTCCATAGGAACCTGGAATGTAAGATCCATGAATCAAGGCAAGCTAGACGTAGTCAAAAAAGAGATGACAAGACTGAACATCGACATCTTAGGAATCAGCGAACTAAAATGGACAAGAATGGGTGAATTTAACTCAGATGACCATCAGGTATACTACTGTGGGCAAGAATCCCTCAGAAGAAATGGAGTAGCCTTCATAGTCAATAAAAGAATAGGAAAAGCAATACTGGGATACAATCCCCAAAATGACAGAATGATCTCAATTCGAATCCAAGGCAAACCATTCAATATCACAGTAGTCCAAATCTATGCCCCAACCACTGGTGCTGAAGAGGATGAAATTGACCGGTTCTATGAAGCCCTACAGCACCTTATAGAATTAACACCAAAAAATGATGTCCTTATCATCATGGGGGATTGGAATGCTAAGGTAGGAAGCCAAAAGATAACCGGAATAACAGGCAAGTTTGGCCTTGGAGTACAAAATGAAGCAGGGCACAGGCTAATAGAATTTTGTCAAGAGAATACGATGGTCATAACAAACACTCTTTTCCAACAACCCAAGAGACGGCTCTACACATGGACATCACCAGACGGTCAACATAGAAATCAGATTGACTATGTACTCTGCAGCCAAAGATGGAGAAGCTCTATACAGTCAGTAAAAACAAGACCAGGAGCTGACTGTGGCTCAGATCATGAGCTTCTCGTTGCAAAATTTAGGCTTAAATTGAAAAAAGTAGGGAAAAGCACTAGGCCACTCAGGTATGAACTAAATCATATTCCTGATGAATATACAGTAGAGGTGACAAATAGATTTAAGGAACTGGATCTGATAGACAGAGTGCCTGAAGAACTATGGATGGAAGTTCGCAACATTGTACAAGAGGTAGCAACTAAAACCATCCCAAAGAAAAAGAAATGCAAGAAAGCAAAATGGCTGTCTGAGGAAGCTTTGCAAATAGCTGAGGAAAGAAGGGAAGCGAAAGACAAAGGAGAAAGAGAAAGATACACCCAATTGAATGCAGAATTCCAGAGAGTAGCTAGAAGAGATAAGAATGCCTTCTTAAATGAACAGTGCAAAGAAATAGAAGAAAACAACAGAACAGGGAGGACCAGAGATCTCTTCAAGAAAATTGGAGATATGAAGGGAACGTTTCATGCAAAGATGGGCATGATAAAGGACCAAAATGGCAGAGACCTAACAGAGGCAGAAGAGATTAAGAAGAGATGGCAAAACTACACAGAAGAACTATACAAGAATGAGCTTAACATCCCAGATAACCACAATGAGATGGTCATTGACCTCGAACCAGACATCCTAGAATGTGAAGTGAAATGGGCCTTAGAAAATCTGAGCAACAACAAAGCTAGTGGAGGTGACAGTATTCCAGCTGAGCTATTCAAAATCTTAAAAGAAGATGCAGTAAAAGTGCTACACTCAATTTGCCAGCAAATTTGGAAAACTCAACAGTGGCCACAGGATTGGAAAAGGTCAGTTTACATTCCAATTCCAAAGAAAGGCAATGCCAAAGAATGTTCAAACTATCGCACCATTGCACTCATTTCACATGCTAGTAAAGTTATGCTTAAAATCCTACAAGCTAGACTCCAGCAGTATGTGGATCGAGAACTATCAGAAGTACAGGCAGGATTTCGAAGAGGCAGAGGAACTAGAGATCAAATTGCCAACATACGCTGGATCATGGAGAAAGCTAGGGAGTTCCAGAAAAACATCTACTTCTGCTTCATTGACTATGCAAAAGCCTTTGATTGTGTGGATCACAACAAATTGTGGCAAGTTCTTAAAGAGATGGGAGTACCAGACCATCTCATTTGTCTCTTGAGAAACCTATATGCGGGTCAAGAAGCAACAGTGAGAACCGAACACGGAACCACTGATTGGTTCAAAATTGGAAAAGGAGTCCGGCAAGGCTGTATACTGTCGCCCTGCCTATTTAACTTATATGCAGAGCACATCATGAGAAAGGCAGGGCTAGATGAATCAAAAGTTGGAATTAAGATTGCCGGGAGAAATATCAACAACCTAAGATATGCAGATGATACCACTCTAATGGCAGAAAGTGAAGAGGAACTAAAGAGCCTCTTGATGCGGGTGAAGAAGGAGAGTGCAAAAGTTGGCTTGAAACTCAACATTAAGAAAACCAAAATCATGGCATCCGGCCCTCTCAATTCCTGGCAAATAGATGGGGAAGAAATGGAGGTAGTGACAGATTTTATTTTTCTGGGCTCCAAGATCACCTCAGATGGGGACTGCAGCCAAGAAATTAAAAGACGCTTGCTCCTGGGGAGGAAAGCTATGGCAAATCTAGACAGCATACTAAAAAGCAGAGACATCACCCTGCCAACAAAAGTACGCATAGTCCAGGCCATGGTTTTCCCAGTTGCAATGTATGGCTGTGAAAGTTGGACCATAAGAAAGGCTGAGCGCAAAAGAATTGAGGCCTTTGAACTGTGGTGCTGGAGAAGACTCCTGCGAGTCCCTTGGACTGCAAGGCGTTCAAACCGGTCGGTCCTAGAAGAGATCAACCCCGACTGCTCTTTAGAAGGCCAGATCCTGAAGTTGAAACTCAAGTACTTTGGCCACCTAATGAGAAGGAAGGATTCACTGGAGAAGAGCCTAATGCTGGGAAAGATTGAGGGCAATAGAAGAAGGGGACGACAGAGAATGAGATGGCTGGATGGAGTCACTGAAGCAGTAGGTGTGAATTTAAATGGACTCCAGAAGATGGTAGAGGACAGGAAGACCTGGAGGAATGTTGTCCATGGGGTCGCGATGGGTCGGACACGACTTCGCAATTAACAACAACAGTATTAATATTAGACATCAATGTAATACATTAATACTTTTTTTAACAGAAAATGTCAAAGATTGAACTTCATCTCTGATCTGGTGACTATCACATGTGATTTTGGGCACCCTGGAAAGAACAAGCAGCCAAGGACAAACTTGGCTTCAAACTTGTTAAAAGATTACTAAAATAGAGTACTTAATCAGTAGAAGGAACTTAATGCTGTTCATACATCTCAGGGTCTTGAGAGAATAGCCCTGGCAGTATACATGTGCTCCCTCTTTTTCTAAAAATATATAACATGCTCTTAGACTTCTAGTTCTTGTAGTGTTGATTTCTGATAACTGCTTGGACAAGTCCCTATAGCAGTGGTGGCGAACCTATGGCACAGGTGCCAGAGGCAGCACTCAGAGCCCTCCCTGTGGGCACATGCACCGTCACTCCAGTCCTAGGCCTTCAGCTGGGTTTTATAAAACCCTTTTTGCTTTAGGCCTCTGCCACTGTGTACAAAAAAAGCTTCAATCAATCAGTCAATTTCAACTTCTCGCAGAAAAAAAAGATCTTGCAAAGTGGGAATTGATTGATTGAACATTTTAGTCCCATCCAGCCTGCTGTTACCATCGCAGCCATGCCCACCCATGGGCCACACCCACCCAATGGGCCATGCCCACCCAGCACCCGACGATGCATAAGTGGGTTTTGCACTGCAGTTTGGGCACTCGGTCTCTAAAAGGTTCACCATCACTGCCCTATAGTTTTCTTGGCAAGGCTTTTTGTACTGTTTGGCTCTGCCTTTTTCTTAGGGCTGAGAGAAAGTAATTACTGAATGTAGCCCAAGTCACCCGGCTGGCTCAATGCCTAAGGTGGAACTGGAACTTACTGTACCAAAAACTTCTGTTATTGGAGGTATAAAAGTACAATAAATGTAAATACCTAATCAAAAAGACGTTTACAAGGATAGAGGTCCTTCAGTGATTGAGAAGACTAGAAATTTGATTAAATACATTAAATATAATCATTTAAGTGTTCAGAACAAACACACACCTTGCTTTGAAACAAAGTTGTAAAATAAGCCAATGTTGTTGTCCTCATAAGATGCAACAGGAGATGGACAGGAAGCCCCAGAACATCTTTCCCAAACAAGCTGATGACTTTATGTAGCTTAAAAACCCACAATTGATATGATAGAATAAAGGCATCCTAGAATCCGGTTTAACTCCTGGGACTTCATGGACACACCCATGCTATTTTTTTTTATTTTTTGGTGGCCAAATATAAGTGGTTAACCACTGCCTTCTGAGGGAGGTTAGCCCAGAGAAGGAAATATTAAAAGGGCAGAAGAATATACCGTAAATGCCGGCGTATAAGGCGACTTCCGCGAGCGCTGAAATCGGCGCCAAAGACGAGGGTCGTCTTATACGCTGAGTCGTCTTATACGCCGGAAATACTGGTAGTTTCCGGCGTATAAGACGACGTTCTAGGAATGCGGCCCGGCTATAAAGACGGGAGTCGTCTTATACGCCGGGTCGCCTTGTACGCCGGCATTTACGGTATTTTTCCTCAAAAGGATTTTTTAAAACCAAACCTGGCCCCAAATCTATCTCTCTGCCCCAAGCAAGAGCTAGCCCCATACAAGTGCAGATGTAAAACCATCAGAAAGTTGAAGCCAGAACAATCAAGAAGACAAAGAGAAAATCTGCATGCCCCACCCAAACTCTAGGAGTCATTAGCCCCATCACCTGGGAAGCAGGATATGATAATAGGATTAAACCACAAATATCAAGGCCTAGAAAAACACTCAGAAATAGCCTCAAGGTTCATGCCACAGGAACAGGAAACTATTCCAAACAAGGCTAGAGGGGATATAAAAACCTGCTGCCCATGTGCTCAACTCCTCTTTCCTCTCTGCTCTTTCTTGCAAGGACCATCTTTCTGCTTCTTCAATAAACTGTAACCTTCTTCCCAAAGCAGTCACCATGTTGCTTATTTATCCCGGCTTGGATGAACCAGGATGAAGACTTACTTCTGACAATTTGGCACCCCAAATGGGACTCCAATGCTAACCTCTCCAATGGACAGACTGGTAAGCCCCATCTTGCCGGCAGCATATCCCCTTGTGTCTGTGGATGGGTCTCCCAGGCCTGGTCCATGTGGAGCCAAGATAGTAAAGGGAGTTCTGAGAGTTTGAGCTCAAGGGCTGCTTTGGAAAGAAGGTGAAGGTGAGTACCTCTAAATTTTAAGTTTAAAGCCCAGGGGAACAAAGAAATGTGTGTATTTCTGTTTGTGTAAGTGAGAGGACTTTTTTTCCCCAATCACAGTTGGATGTTGCTCCTTCTGGTCTTTCCTAGCAGCAGAAAGGATCTGTTTAATTGGAAGAACCTGGAAAGCATGGGGGTTTGGTCAGAGCACAGAACCTTTTGTTAGGGAAAAGGGAGAGGCTGTGTGAAAATGAAATGGAATGAGTGAATAAAATAATTGGATTTGGGCAACTAGCTGGTAAAGCCCTGTAAGCAAAACAAAGTTAGGAAATTAAGCCTTGGGCTAGGAGCGGCCACTTACCTCTGAAAGCAAGCAGAGGTCCTCACGGACATCGGAGGTCCGCAAAACAGTGGCGTGAAGCCAGCCAAAGAGTAACCTGTACCTTCTGAGGGGGGAACCAGAAGTGTCTCTGCAGACCCCTTTTTTGGTCTGAAAACATGGCAGATCCCTCAAGGAGCCCACATACTCTGAGAGGGATCCAGAGTGCTCCATGAGTCCCCTTTTTGGACCCACAAAACCGTGGTGGTAGGAAGCAGTCTCACAAGGAGGCTTCTGGTGTATAATCCCTTTAGCGTTAGAGGAAAATCCCATCATAGAAGCATGGGAGGTTCCAATTCCAGGGCTGAGATAGGTTCCCCAGTTGAGAGCTTGCTTGAAGCCTGGGACAGGAATCAGCTACCCATCCAGGCCACTATGAAAAAGAGATAGTAAAGAAACTATATATAAAAAATAGACTTTGCTTAGGGCTTTGCTGGGAAACCAATTTGGCCATTTTCTTGCCTAACTTAACTTGTGCTTCTAATCTATTTTTTTATGGTACTGTTTTTGATAAGTTGGACTGTTTGCTTTTTATTATTTTTGACTGTGGCCACAAGCCTTAGTTCATTTTGAGCCTTAGCTTTCTTCACCTCATCTTTGCAGGCTCAGACTATTTGCTAATATTCTGCTGTAATTATGTGCCCCTCTTTCCACTTTTTATACTGGTCCCTCTTATATGTCAATTTATTAGAGAGTTCTTTATGCAGCCATGCTGGTTTCTCTTGAGAGCTATTATTTATCTTCTTTGTTGGTAGTGTGCTAGACTGGGACATTTAAAAAAAAATTCCCAAGTTTCTTGAGTTGTTTCCCCTTGAAGATTCTCATCCATGGAATCTCTCCCAAGCCCTCTCAAGTTTATTGAAATTAGCTCTCTTAAAGTCCAAGACTCTAGTTTGACTTTCTATTGTCATGTGTTTCCTATGTACCTTAGTTAGCTGACTAGCAAAAAGTTCTATTTCCCCTGTATGGTTGAATGGCCTATAGTATACACCTATGGCAATGTCATTTCCCCCCTTTTATATTGATCCAAATGCATTCAGGACAGTTTCCATCATTGTTGTGCCCTAATTCTGTAGATATGTAGTTATTTCTTATATATAGAGAGAAACTCTGCCTCCTCTTTTATTTGGTCTGTTTCTTTTAAACAATTGAAATCCCTCTAGCTGAGTGTTCCGTTTGTGGGTTTTATCCCACCATGTTTCTATAATGACAACTATATCATATTTGCCCTCATTCTTTATGACTGACACCTATGCATTAGTCCTCTTTGTGTGACACTATCAAAAGCTTGATTTTGCTTGATAGCAAGGTTGATATTCTTGTCCACACACATCTATGTTACTTGCACTGCTAACCCTGTAATTTTTGATTGCCAGGGACAGGGATGTTCTGTATCAATTAACTCACTGTCCCTTGTTTAAATATTCCTCCAGTCCTCCTTGTATTTGCCAAGATATTTCCTCTTTGGAGTGAGGAGGGGGTGTCCTGCCTGCTGGGTCCTGCCCCAAGCTCTGGAAAATCATTCTGCAATATGTTGCAAATGAATTTGTGTTCTAAATGGGTTTTATCTATCTATCCTTTTCCTGAAAAATGTGTGTCTATCTACAAGAGCCTTTTGAAGTTCAAGTCTGCTTGTTTGGGGAAATAATTTTCTTAAGTTACTTTTCTTATCCTATCACTAATTGGTGAAACTACTATGAAGCTTTCAGAAACATAAGCATTTTCCAATCTCTAAAATAATGTGGTCTATTTTGGAATAAATGTTAAAGGCAGATTCTCCTGCCCTTGGCAAGTTGCACATATTAAAATATTAGGCTTTTAAAATTATTTGGAGTTTTCAGCATTCTCAAGCTGCCTAGCATTTTTTTTCCTCTCAAGTTGCAAATTCTTGTCCTTAATATGTTGCAAATGTTCAAGTTCAAAAGTCAAACATTTCATTTTGTTGTTCTCTTACCAGAATTCAGGTTTTTCTTGTCCTTAATCTGTGCTTGTCCCCATTTGTCTATCTGTTTCTCTAATAACTGCAGTATAAATGCCTTTTCAAACTGCCTGCAAGCTATCCCCCTTCCAATTCCTTTCTTGCCCTTTGTTCTCCATATCGTTTGTCTGCCTCTCCTGGGAGAGTCCACCCAGAAAGTGGGGGAGATCTTGTTCTTGTATCTTTCAACCCTGCAATCCTCTCCCAAACCTTTGGAAGCAGAACACACAAAACCAGATGCTGCCTCCATCCATTTGAGCCATGGAAATTGGGTTTTGAATCCAGCCATCCACTAAAAAGCCACCATGCGATCTGAGTGGAACATCTTCCCAAGTTCTACCATTCCCCAGATGCCTGTGAGAGCTGCAGAAGGAAGGAGTCCTGGAGCCACTGGTGCCATGTGAAACCTCAGAAGTGAAAATTAGGCTGTAGAGGGGGAGGGTGGAAACTCATTGTAAACTTTTCTTTCTTGCCCAATTTGTATTGTAACAAGCCAGTTGAATGTATTAATGGAGAGATGGCATTTGGGAATAGTTGCGCACACACACACACACACACACACACACACACAGTTCAGAATCACATTGAGTCTATCCCCTCCACCTACCTTTAGTAAAGTTTCCCCCAGGCTGATTTTTTGGTCTATTGCACCAAAGCTTTGCAAGCACAACTTCCTGAAAATTCCAAGGGGGAGGGAACTAGGCCCCCTCAGGTGATTTGCAATTCTTATGCCCTGACTAAGGAAGCAACAGGAAAGAGATCCCAAACCTCAGCCCTGAATATCTTGCACTGTTGGGCTCAGATTGAGATTCCTAGAGCTCATTATGTGCAATTTAAAGAAAAAATTAATAGCCTGGCATACTGGCTAACCTCAATTGGACATTACAAACCTGGATGCACTGAACTAAGAGCTAAGGCAGGAAACAACCCTTGAAAATGGGCAGCCAGTGGTCATGTACTAAGGAAAACCATGGCTGTGAAGAATTTTGGGAGGTATGCAAACCTGACTGGAAGCTAAAAGTGACATCCAACATTTGAAAATGATTGGCACAGAATATTGGACACTATAAATTTCTTTTCCACCTAACAAAATTTTTGCCCTGATTTTTAGAACTTTATGGGTGCAAGCTCCCCTTTTGGGAGCCACTAAAGGGATCTTTTTCTGCTGCATTAATGTCTTATTTTTTTTTTGCTTAACAGTTTAAAAGCTTGCCTACCAAGTCTCCCTGACCAGATCAATTTTAATGTTGTGCCAATAAGTGTGACATTCTCACATTTAAGGCACAAAGCGGGGATTGAGGGAAGTTAGCCCAGAGAAGGAAATGTTAAAAGGGCAGAAAAATATATTTTTCCTCAAAAGGATTTTTTAAAACCAAACCTGGCCCCAAATCTATCTCTTTGCCCCAAGCAAGAGCTAGCCCCATACAAGTGCAGATGTAAAACTATCAGAAAGTTGAAGCCAGAGCAATCAAGAAGACAAAGAGAAAATCTGCATGCCCCACCCAAACTCTAGGAGTCATTAGCCCCATCACCTGGGAAGCAGGATATGATAATAGGATTAAACCACAAATATCAAGGCCTAGAAAAGCACTTAGAAATAGCCTCAAGGTTCATGCCACAGGAACAGGAAACTATTCCAAACAAGGCTAGAGAGAGTATAAAAACCTGTTACCCATGTGCTCAACTCCTCTTTCCTCTTTTCTCTCTGCTTTCTTGCAAGGACCATCTTTCTGCTTCTTCAATAAACTGCAACCTTCTTCCTAAAGTAGTCGACATGTTGCTTATTTATCCCAGCTTGGATGAATCAGGATGAAGACTTACTTCTGACATGTCTTTTAATCTTTTTTTTAAGATTTGCCTGTCCACCTTGTATTTTTTTAAAAAATTCCCAGACCACAGCCTTGGTCTTTCGGTTTGAATTATAACCAGCCATACAAAGCTTCACTGCTTAGCTGTCAAAAGATGAAACTGTATTGCGGCTGGGGCATCCGATATCGAGCCTTCTTCAGACCTTCCTTTGCTTCTGAGGCTGCTTTTCGAGGGGGGAGAGTGCCATGGCAATAAAGGGGTTCTCACTCAAGGGAGCCATGAAATCCGGTCGCCGCTCAGCTCTCCAGATGCAGACAGTTCCCTTCCCAGCTTGGTTTCAGAAAAGTCCTTCACCCTCTTACCTTTCCTGCACAGATTTAGCCATGAGGAGCTTAGAGACGGCCGTTGCCACTGCCGCCGCTATTCCCTCTGCAAGTAAAATCCGAACGGGATGCTAAGTGAAGACTCAAACTCTCAGATGCCGCCGCCGCCGCCAAAATTCAACCCATTTGATCGAACACTAAGCTGGACCGGCGCGCCTTTTGATTGGTCAAAGAGACACCCATTAGTGCGTCATTTCCGGCACTGCCGAATCAGCAAATCAACGGGAAAGAAGAAAACGAGAGGGTGAAGCTCGCTCGCCTTTAATTGCAAAGCACCACCGTTGGCGTTCCGCATGAGATGATTGGTCGCCAGGCTAGGAACGGAGTGACGTCTTTGGCCATTTTTTTTCTTTTCTTTTTTAAGCCAGAGGAGAAAGGAAGGTGCCAAGCTAAAGTGGAGGCGGCTGGGGAGATTAAGGAAAGTTTATAGAAGAGCAATCCGATTTCATGTTCACTTCATTTGGCTGTATGGAATAGCTGCGCTCTTGGCTAGCCCAGTGCCTCGCTGAAGAGATACTCTGGAAGGCTGCTTAGGAAATCAGTCCCATTGACTCTAATGGAACCTGCTTGCTAGTAAATGAATTTGGCATCATTGAAACTTTACAGCCCTCGATGGTTTCTTCGAATACAAATCCTGTTTTGTCCAAAATCGTATAGCAAATGCAAATATTAAATCCCATTTCATATAGGATTAACCGATTGCGGTTTGGAAAGGATGTATACCTGCGTGGTGTTAAAAGACTCGAGTCGAGATTGAATGAAACTTGTAAAATTACATGGGGTTTCTTAATTTGTAAAATCACCCATCTCAACAAGTGACTCTGGGAGGCGAAAAACAATAAAACAACTACCCTGGGGTCAATTAAATATAAAAATTATGCTGCCTAGCAGAGAAAAACAACAGTCAACAAGAGTTAGTCTTTTCTTATCCTTAGCTTAACCTCCAGCTTTCCTAGTTTCCTAAAGAACTATATGAGAGATGAATAAACATGTGTGCATGATATCAATTAAACATACTATCTATTTAAATAAACATTAATGGTAGTCGCTTGTTGCTCACTCTCACATTATGTCAGAAGTTGACTGAGCTATGCAGGGAATTTGCTCACTCCTGGGTAATAAGGCCCAATATTTGACAAGTCTTAAGCAGAATGGATCATTATCCACAGTAAATGGGCTGCAGTATTACAGCGTTTGAGGGGTCCTTGGTGCTCTCTGAGCTTGCTTGTTTTCTTGCAGATGTTTCATTACCCTAACTAGATAACATCATCAGTGGTAATAAGGAGTGCTGTTTGCTGTCAGTTTATATTCTGGTATCTTGCCTGGCTGGGTCAGTGTGGTCTTAGGGATTCTTTGGTTGAGCTGTTTACTAAAGGCTCTTTGACAGTTTCTAGGTTGGGGTATTGTTAATTTGATTCTTGCTCTGAAGGTGACCTTGGAGTTAATCTATGTTGATCTGAATGTCAATTACTGGTGGAGAGGTGCTGGAGTCTTTTTCTCTTTTGTGCTGGTTGATTGTCTCTTTTGCATGGTCTATTGATGTTAAATGTCTATTTGTCTATTGATGGCTGATTTGTCAAAGTCCCAGGCTTCTAGAAATGCCCTGACATTTTTGGATTTGGCCTGGTCTAGATTGTCACATTTTCCAGATGGACAAGACACCAGGATATAAACTGACAGCAAACAGTACTCCTTATTACCACTGATGATGTTGCCTAGTTAGGGTAATTAAACATCTGCAAGAAAACAAGCAAGCTCAGAGAACACCAAGGACCCCTCCTTTCAAGCCTGAGCTACAAATTCATTGAGTACAGCCTTTATTTTCCTCTTCCATCGCAATCCTTCAGTTTCCTGGGAAATATGTCCCTAGTCCTGTCTGGAGTTTCTTACTGCAATAAGGATAATTTTCTTGCTAGACAGCCCCATCCAACCAGGTTTTAACATGGCATCAGATGGAAACTATTCGTTTGTTTGGGACAAAATGTGATCTGGCTGAAAGGAAAAGGAGGAAGTAAAATGGAGGGAACAACCATATTTTGTAAGAAGGGGGTATTGACAAAAATATGGTGAAAGCAATTATGGAATAAAACAGGAGGCAGTGATATCTCCAACGTCCATTTTCTCATAAAAATCTATCCCCTGTATTAGCGAAGATAACATTGGGTTGTAAAGCATGAAAAATAGCTAATAATAGTTTGGATATCAACTTGCTCCCCCATTTGAGGAATAGAATGTGCCGGATAGTGGTGTCAAGCGCAGCTAGAAAGGCGGGGCAATTTCAGATCCTTTGTGCAATGAAGTTGGATAAAACATGGAACTTTGCGGGGTTATTAAGCCTAATCATAATGAAAGCAACTGTGGGATCTGTTCATATAAACGTGGATCTCTCACGCCCTATAGGCGAGTTGAGGCATTTTGGGAAAAGCACGGCATATTGGTAAGAAATGACGGATTGTTTATGCAGTGAAGTCATGAGGTTTGTAGTTTGAAATCAGCAAATTGAAGACAGGTTATTTATATATTTGCAGTTAACTTCGCAAAGTCCAAGTTTTCCCTTTTTTATAGTACTAAAATAAGATAAAGCAAAGGTAATCAACATATGTATTCCTCTATCCGATACATACCTCAAGATTGGTTTGTGATAAGTATTGCATACAATCTGCTCAAAGTGAGACTTAATACAATTTCCTTTAGCCCTGAAGTTAGGTTGCAGTTCCAAACATGCTATAGCACAATATAGCAGGAATTATTTCTTTAAGAAAGCATAATTGCATTGTGGAAAAATGAGCTATGAATTCAGAAATACCTTCAAAATCTCACACCATGAACCCATAGGCAAGCTGTGATCTAATGCAACCCTCCCTCTTTTTGCAATATACAAATAATATATCCTTAAGAAAGATGGATGGTACCAACTTATGAAAAATGAACAAAAACTAGTAGAAATGGAGGAAAGGATGGATAAAGAAGAGCAGAGAGTAGATGAAATGAATGAAAGGCTAATTCAAGCTAACAAAGAATTAGAAACCACAGTTATTTCTTTGGAACTTGAGAAGGCTGCTCATTATCTACAATTTCAAAATGTAGGAGAGATGAAAGGTGAAGACCTCCCAGTAATAATGTCAGATATTCTAGCAGGAGCGTTGGGGTCTACCAGAGAGGAGATGGCCAACGAGATAGATGAGACCTATAGAATACATACAAATTATGCAAGACGACACAATCTTCCAGAGAAGTGCACATTAGATTTATTAAGAAATCAATTAGGGATGAAGTTCTTTTCAGGTTCAGAGATGATACATTGGAATATCGAGGTAAACAGCTGATCGTAGTTAAACAAGTACCCAAAAGAGTGAGAGACCTGAGAAGGTCTTACCAATACATAACTTCCAAACTGATAAGGAAAAATATCAATTTTAGATGGTTAACTCCGGAAGGGATTCTGGTAACATGGCAGGAGAAAAAATTTCGCCTAGACTCAATAGAAAAAGCAGAGGAATTCTACAGGGAAAACTTTGGTAGCAAGGAAGATTTAGTTGAAAGAGGAGCGAGAGAGGAAGGAGAGACACTGGTGCAAGCCATTGAAGCCAGAGGTAAAAGAGTTGAGCCTCGAGAGGATATTGATGAAGGGAAAAATGAAGGAAAGCAGGAGGAGAGTAGGTTTAAGGAAATTAAAGAGGCTAGACCGATAAGATCAACAGTGGAAAGAGGGAAGGATTTACAAACTCAAGAGTCTAGACCAGCAATAGTAACTAGATCTAAACATAGATAAAGAGGGGAAAAAATGTGTTGAATCTATATCTATCAACGTCAATGGCCTCAACTCTCCAACAAAAAGGAAGAAGTTTTTCAATAGGCTCAATAAGATGAATTTAGATATAATAATGTTACAAGAAGTCCACATTAAAAAACAACATCAATATTTATTAAATTGTCCTAAACTGGGGAATATGTTCACAGCACTTTCACAATATAAGAAAGGAGGAGTGGTAGTATATATTAAACAAGAAATTGTGGCTAAGCAAATTTATAAGGACGAAGATGGCAGAATCCTAATTGTGGAAGTAACTTTGAATAAAACCAAAATTCTCCTATTGGAATTTATGCCCCAAATGAGGGGCAAAAACGCTCTGTAAGAAACTCCATAACATTATTAGCCAGTTGGAACATGATAGCATTTGCATAATGGGTGACTATAACGCAATTGTGGAAAATAACCTAGATTATAAATGTGGAAAGAGTAGAAAAAGAACTAGAGGAACAATATCTGATATTTTTTTAAAAATGGCAGATGAGTTTAATATGCAGGATACTTGGAGAGAAAGGAATCCTGGGAAAAAACAGTTTACCTTTTATTCTAGACGTCATCAATCATGGTCCAGAATTGATATGGTGTGGATGTCAGCTGACTTAAATTTAGAAGTAAAGGAGATTGTAATTGATACGAACACCTGGGCTGATCACAATCCGATTAGAATTAGATGGAAGGGGCAAAAAAACACGAGGAGATGGACTCTAAAAAGGGCAATCTTAAACCATAA